CTATCTTCATACATGTCATTTCTAAGTACATACACTTACTTTGATGGGAGGTTTGGCTGCAAAATCCTTCCATCCCAAATGGAGGAAAATCATGTTCTCATCATCCACTTGGAATGGAAAATGGCTGGAGCTGAGCTCGTCGAATTTTTTCAGCTCATCCAGCTCAGTCAGCTCTTGGACCCAGCTCATCCAGCTCAGTCAGCTCAAGTCAGCTCTTGGACCCAGCTCAGTCAGCTCTTGGACCCAGCTCAGTCAGCTCTTGGACCCAGCTCAGTCAGCTCTTGGACCCAGCTCAGTCAGCTCTCAGACCCAGCTCAGTCAGCTCTCAAACCCAGCTCAGTCAGCTCTCAAACCCAGCTCATCCAGCTCATCCAGCTCAAAAACCAGCTCTAACCCCTAACCCTAAACCTAACCCTAACCCTAAACCTAACCCTAAAACCTAACCCTAAACCTAAACCTAAACCTAACCCTAAAACTAACCCTAAACCTAAACCTAAACCTAAACCTAAACCTAAACCTAACCCTAAACCTAAAACTAACCCCTAACCCCTAAAACCTAACCCCTAAACCTAACCCCTAACCCCTAAAACCTAACCCCTAAAACCTAACCCCCCAGCCATTTTCCATTCCAAGTGGATGATGAGAACATGATTTTACTCCATTTGGGATGGAAGAATTTTGCAGCCACAGGTGTTTGATGGGCTTGGTATTTATTTACTGGAATGTTCTTGGACTGCTTGGTTATATGCTGAGGCATTGATTGGAGTGTGGCCAGTGTGGGGCACCAAGGTCAGAGCCCCATACTCTAGAAAAATTCTGGGGGAAGGATTTGCGGGATTGGCACTGGGATTTGAAGCAGGATTGAACCCAAAACCACAGGATTTGCACTTTGGAAGTGCACCGCCATGCATTTATTTGCGCGCTTCTTGAGTGTACCGCAGGGGAACAGATAGGTCAATTTTATAGAATTTGAGTGGATTTCACACATAACATGCTTGCACATGAGACTCACAAACTTGGACCAGATTTTGGAGTACAAAATACTTCATTCAAAATGAGTTGGAGTGAACCAGCTAGTTCAATCTATTCTTGGGGTGCATTTAGCCTGACAAATAAAGGTAAGAAAAAAAATTGAGAAAAGAAGTTGATCAGAAAAAAATCAAAGAAAAAAATGAAAAATCGATACATGGAAGTATGGGATAGTTGTGTATTTGTATTAGTCAAATATTGTGTTTTGCCTGTATATACAATCTCACTGATGCAGTGTATTAAATTATGGGGGAACTATGATTATATAAAAATATATTGTCTCCTACTCAAGGATAAATACAATACAATTCCATGGAATTGCAAACTTGGAAAGTACAAAATGTGTCCAATACAAATCTGTGTGTATTGGTTGCACCATTGGGCTAAGGTATGATGGGGAAAAATGTGTGCATAATGTTGGAGAACCTTCCCAAGTCTTGCTTGATGCTTTGGGCCCTTTAGAGCATCTCCAGCAGAGCCGGGGTCAATTTGTGTCCAATGGCCGCCTGCAACCACATTTGACACCCCTGTCACACTGCTCCCACAGCAGACTGGCAATAGATAGCAGGGGGCGGTTGGCCAAGTTGCCAAGCTCTGGTAGACAACTAGACACCTCCGCCACCACAACAAATGCTATGGATCAACTCAAAGTGATGGACAACAACAATTATTATCTCGCCGTCCAACTCACCTCCCAAATACTGCAAGCTTGACAGCCTCAGGCATATTGACGGATCCAAGAGCTCAGACAATGGGAAGTTCTATCAATTGGGATCAAAAAAAAACACACGAGGGTGACAAAGTAATGAAGATTGATATCAAAAGAGAGGGAACAAGTGAGAAAAAAAGAGAAATATCAGAGAGAAAAAATCAATAACAAAGAAGAACAATTGATATCCTAGCGCAAGGTTGTTTGGATTGTGTTTGGAGAATATCTTCTGGAAGGGATTGCAACTGCTGTGGGGGAGGTGTAGCTAGGTGTTGCAGTAGGTTGTGTTGGTGTGTGGTGTGTTGCTAACTTGACACAAGTCCCTCCGGGTGCAAAGCACCCCCCTCCCGCAGGGAGGGACTTGCGCACAAAGTGAAATTGCTTGCGGGGACAGGAATCACAAATGGCTGGAGTGAAATTAATAAGCCTTAGTGCTGCTGTCCCTGGATGCCTATAAAACTGCCCCAGAGCCATAAAATACTTCTGCATTCCAGCTTTCATTTGGTGCTGGTTTCATCGCTTCAATCCTTTCCACCTCTCCTCTACATATTTTCAAAAATAACAAAAATAACAATTTTTCAAAAAAGGTTCCACCAAGGATCCACAACCATTCTGGCCTTGTCAATCCTGCACCTGCAAGTAGCAGATTTCTGAAGATCTTTGCAGATACTACAAGCAAGATTTGCTACCTGTAGTTCCTTTGCTACGTACCACTGAGCTCTCCAAAGACCTTGCACGACTCATTACCACCCATCACTCCGATTGAATCAAATTCACTGATTTGCTACCGTATTGACTCTCCTGCTTGTATTTATTGAAGGATTCATCCTTAATATAAGTTTTTAACTGATCGTTGTTGTATTTGTATATCTTCTTAGGAATGTTAACTGGGAGCATGCTGAATTTTTTTGCAGTCGATACATAGGACACCATAGCTCTTAGTGACCAACAGCTTGGTATCTTTTTTCTGTGTCTTACTGCAGCTGAAAATCCATCATGAATATCACAATTTTCTTGGTTGAAAATCCTTTGGAAAATCTGAAAATGGATTGTCACAGGAATGGAATATCCTTCAGGATCCATTTGACCTCCATAATGGATTCCTCAAAACATTTTTGGTGAAGAAGCTTCAAAAAATTGGAAGAAGGTGCACATGGAAAAAAAAAAAAAAAAAAAAAAAAAAAAACAGAACTGGAGGACTTCCCTTGCAGAAGTCGATCTATAGCCGAAAACTTTTAATTCTCACAGGGAAATTTGAATTTCAAGGCTCTAAACCAGCTCTGGGAGACCCGCAGATGTTGACGGGAAGTCCTCCACTGGAGGACTTCCCGTCGGATCTGGGAGCCTCGCAGTTTTCGATTTAGACCCAAAAAGTCTAGATTTTCGCAGGGAAATCTAGCTTTTTCGGCTCTAAATGGAAACTGGGAGACCCGCAGATGTTGACGGGAAGTCATCCACTGTCTATTCAAATTTCTGTAAAAATGTGTTGTTATTTTTTAGAATTTTTTTTTGTAATTTTAGGACTGAAAATTCCTCCTGTCTCTGCGAGCTTGCCAACATAATTCATAAGCCTCTCCTATGGATAGCACTCTGCGCAGGGTACCCCAGACCCTCCATTTGAGGGGATTTGTTAAGCTAGGGTGTGTTGTGAGAAAAACACAGCAAGGAGCAAGTAGCTGCCCCCTGCCAAGGCAGCTATTGCCTTGGATTTATAGCTGGGGGGAGGTGGGGGGCAATCAGTTGCAGGTCTAGTTGCAGCTCTGCTGGACCCCAAAATTCTCCCTCAACCCACTGATTTGGGCTGAAAACTGCCCATCTGCTGGAGATACTTTTAGCAGCACTGAGCCTCCACTATTGTGACTTCCTTCAGGTCTGGTTCATCCTGTATCACATAACTACTTGCACTGTGCAGATACCAAAACTCACTTTTAATGTTTTCTAAATGGTACATTATATCTCTTGGGTTAAACCTTAATTGCAAGCATAAGTACAAGTCTTGAATCACAAAATCCAAAAAAAAAAATAAAGATAAAATGAAGACTAGAAAGATGAATTGTTGAAACCAAATGCATAGTCAGTAAGCAATTCATATAATGTGCATTGTACAAATTACATGAGAAAACCATGTCAAAGATTGATCAGAGATAATCTTGAGTTATCATTCTATAAATGGTTCTAGATCTGCTTGCATTAAACAAGCTGATAAACCATTTTATATTTTCAGGTTTTGTGGTTGATTATTATTTAGGCATCATGAGAGAGAAAAGGGACTTTGTTAAATTAAAAAAAATATAAGAATAAAAGATGCAGCTCACCTCAAATGTTGAATTGAGTTGAATCCAAATTGGTTGGATGACAGTACTCTGTTAAGGTATACCAACAGTCAAAAGTTAGGATGTCTGAGGTCAGATCTTGTCCATCCTACTGAATTAATATTAACTTCATCTCACTCCTGGAGGCTGGATTGGTCAGTGGTGAGAGAGTTAGAGGAGGACTTTAGGATCTGGGACCCTCCCAGATGTTGATTCAGACCCAAAAAGTCTAGAATTTTACTGATAAATCTAGCTTTCAAGGCTCTAGATTGCTTCTGGGAGGTTGACCAGTCTCAATGGTTATCTTTCTTTAAGAGCCAACTAGATTAAATTTTCAACAAATTAATATTAATCAATCCACTTTTTAGATCAAAAGGCTTTCATCTAGATCATGGAGAGCTCAGTTCAAGTGATTAATCAGAAAACAGAAACATAAAGCAATATGGTTGGTAATTTACGAAAATCAAAAATACCGATTACTGGCAGATGGTCGGTCATATGTATGAAAAGATACAAAGGTATAAGGAGAGGCAGAGATGATCGATCGATCGACCGACCAAGCACACCCCTCTTGAATTGAAAATCGAGTGATTAAGTTACCTGTATGCTTGAATGAAGGATCGGCTACTTTGAAGGACCGGTGGGTTAACCCAGCAGAATCATCCTCGTCTGCCAGGCCTGTAGGAGGATTATTGAGCTCCCGATGTACATTGTTTCTCGGTCAACATGGAACTGCCCCACTTGGAGAACTCTCTTCATATATAGTCGAGGCGAGGAACAGAATGAGTCTACATAGTCAGGGGATCTCTTGATTACATTCATCAGACAAAATCCCATCAAGGTATTCATTTGATTACTTGCAGATATTGAAGAACGTAAAAACAATAAAATTAACAGATGAAATGAGATATGGAGTAGAGCTTGATGAGAGAAGAAAAAGAGATGTGCTCTATGTAGTGTGGTTGGAGTGCTGAAGGGCTACGGATCAAGATGAAGGAGCAGACGAAGAAGAAGAAGCTTGAATCCAATCCAGATGACGATGAACAAGACGAAGGACCATCAGTTCCTCGATTTCATGGCCGAGAGGGTCCTCGTTCTTGATCGGCTCGATGGTGCCTTCTCGATCGATCATCAAGACCGAGGTCTTGCGAGTATGAAGCTCGTTAGCGATCACCAGATGATGGCCGTACCTCGTCAGGGCCGCTTTCGCTTTCGGAATCAACAGATTCGAATCGGTTTCTAACTGTTAGATTTTTTTTTTCAGCACTCTGAATCAATAAAAAAAAACCCCTGTCTCGATCGATTGAGGATGACGATGAACTGACTTTAAATGAGACTATAAAGGCTTGGTTGGACCATTCGTTGGTGACGTCTTTCAGCACTTTGGGCACTGCATCCATCTCGATCACCAACGAGCCTTTGCCGCTTTGGATCTTATGTTCAGACTGAAGAAAACCCGGGAACGGGGTGTTATCAAAGGAGGCGAGATGATCGTGTGTGATGTGATTCAAGGAGAGAGAGAGGGAGAGGGACGTACCAATTTTTGTTGAGGGATAAAGAAATCCGAGACAGCAGCGGCCAGATAGAGCATCGCCCTTCTCCCCAAACCTAGCGAAGGTTCACCCAAGACTTTGGCAACTGCTCTGAGTATGTAGAGGTATTCGTTCACGGTCACGAAGGAGATCGTATGAAGTAAGTTGAGCTGATGGACGAGATGATGAGCCTGCAGGATCGAGAGCATTGCCGGTCGATGCTGAGCGGGGATAGAGATCGTGTGATGGTCGAGATGAGCAGGGTTCTCGGTCGAGACTGCAGGATGCTGATGATGATTGACTAGATGTGGTGATAGGATCGGGAAGAGCGGTTGCTGGCTTGGAGGAGATTGGTTTTCAGAGGCCGAGTCGGACGAGGGTTCTTGGATGGCTAGTAGGTCTAGGAATGGGTTGGTAGAGTGCGGGTAGTGTCGGCTGAAGGGTTCGAGCGAATGGGACCGATGGAGGAAGATGACGGCATATTGGTTGGTCCGTAGGAATGCCTCAGCCGAAGCTGAACCTCGAGTGCCAGCTGAGAAGTTATCCAAGAACCTGACACTGTTCGGAAGAGGTGATCAGAATATATTGGCTATGTGGAGTAGAAGAAGAAGGTAACTCACACGTTATGTTCTAGTGGGACAGTCGTTCCACCACTCTTGATCGGAGATCGAAAGCAGAAGGTGTTTGAATATCAAGCTGAGAAGTAGAAAAGATGAGATAGACAGATTTTACGGACGGTGATCAAGACTATCCTTCGATTAGGATGGTGGCTGGCATGGAAGTTGACGAAGCTCCTGACCCGACTGACGATTTCCTCGAGGTGGCTGGGTGGCGACTGAGTTTGGAAGTATCTCTCTGATCTAACTTAACAAAGTCCCCCCTGGTGGGAGGCTCGCTGGTGTGAAGCACTGGCTGGTGGCGAAGCCACCCCTCCCGCAGGGAGGGACTTAGGACCAAAGTGCCCCTCCTTGACTGAGGGCATCTGAAAATCGACCCTTGACTTACACAGTCTGTAGCTCACTCATTGTTTGAGCTACATGTGTCTTTCTGTAGAGGGAAAGATGCACTTGCACCTTATGTTGTCTTCCCTCAACTCGGTTTTGCAAAAATTGTTGTCTTCAAAAACATCGAACTCAAAACAGCGCAAAGGAGATCTTGATGCTACATGGAAAACCTGAGCCGCGCAGGCTAGGATAGTCAAAACCAAGTTTGATTCGAAATTTGTTCAAAAATCAATGGTTCAATAGAATTTGTAGCTTATGAGCTCCAAAAATTGATGGAGTCAAGTAGATCCGACCTTCCAGTAGCTGGGCCCGGTTGGGTTGAAACTACAGTCTGTAAAAATTGATTACTAGATTTTTCAATTTTTTGGTGGATGGCCTTGGTTGACTACCCCCACTTAAGGCATAAGTCCCTCCCTGCGGTCGGGCGGGGTTCAGTGCTTCACCACTGCACGCCCAACCGCAACTGGGTGGGACTTAGATAAGTTAGCTCTCTGATGAGAAGCCTTGCTCCATCCCTCGGTCCGTCTGATCAGCTTCGTCCTTAATAGCTTATAAGTTGTACATATTTTAGTAATGAAGTCCTATCAAGACATACCGAGCTACATACATCATAACTTCAGTCAGTTCGATGCCCATGAGAAATGCATCATCAGAACACTTCCTGGATACCTCAACACCCACATAGAAGGAGAAGGCTCATTAGAATAGCAAGCTACTCAAAATGAATTCCTACTGTCCTGATCTTCATGGCCATTATGCAGAGCATTAAATCAAGCGATGGATCAAAGACCAGAACTGTGTCAGAAGAGTTCATTTCCTGGCCTCTATGACCTCACAAGTAAAGAAAGTCTTGAGCTGGCTGCATAGATTATCAGGTAAGCTTGATATAAACAGGTGACATATGTGTCATCCACAACACCTGTGTCTTCAGGATTTCTCTCAATCATACAAGCAACCAAAAAACCACCAACAAGAGCAAGTGCATACATTCCGACTTCCTGGTGCCATTAAATAGATAAATGATGATTGACAATCTCAGTGGTAATGATGCTGTGGGGTTTTGATACTTGCAATGTTGACTGATGCTCAATAAAACTATAAGTTCATGATCATCAACCAAAGAATTGGAATGTGGGCCTGCCTGATCTTAAGGCTCAAGAGAAATGTCCTCCAATTCAACTGGTTTGGTGGTGGTTGTGGTGGTGCTGGAGGATCCAACTTCCAATTTGATTATCTTGGAATGTAATGCTTCCTCATTGCCAATTTTTATCCCCAAACTGTATTCTTCTGGATCATGATCAGTTCCTATGCAATTGGTCACTTGCTGTCATTTTTCTAGCCATTTCTTCAGTGTCTTGCATTGAGTAAGTGGTTGGCATAATTACCACCATCCCTCAAGTCAACATATACAGATCAATTAAACCTAGTCAGGATCAGATTTGTTCATTTAATCTGTTAAATGTTGGGGCAAAGAAATCATGAGTTCATCAAAACTTAACTATGGCAAGCATGTGTAGAACCAGCAACATATATAGCTTTGCTAAGCTGAGCAATTACAAAACCTCATTTCTCTCTGTCCAGAGCTCAAAATTTTAACAATTCTGCTACAGTGTCACATCTTGTCAAGATTCCACACAGCTTGTATGTTAGGGTAAGGCTGTCACCCAAACCCAAGCCCCAGGATCTTGCCCTCAGGTGGGACCCTGGGGCTCAGGGCATCTGAATGGGTCTTTTGGACACCCCAAACCCTGGGGCATCAACTTTTCTTGCTTGGATATGGGATTTCAAGTATTTTACATGTTTTTTTGGGGGGGGGGGGATTTTATTTTTTGTTTGTGGTTGGATGAATTGAATGTTGTTCCTGGAGTCTGTGAGTGTTGAAAACCTGAACTACGGAAAACAGCTTTTTAAGACAATGAGGCAGTAGGAAAAGGTTCTTACTGGAACAGACTCAGGGGAAAAAAGATGGAGGAGGACTGATGATGATCATTTCTTTCAACTTGGTTAGTTTGGATATACAGTGGGTGGACTGTTATTTTTGTATCCTTGTTTTGGATTCCTGAGCTTCAAAGCACATACTTAAAGTCGCCAGATTTTGTCAAGTGGTGCATAATAGGCCCCAAAAGATGAATATGGAAAAATAAAAACAAAAAACAAAGTTTCAAATTTTGTGAAAAATAAAACATAAAATTGATTTTTTTTTTTCAAAAGCTTTGATATTCATTTGTAAGTGGGTGTGCTGAGAGAAAGAACAAGTGTAACATGGAAAGAATAATTATAAATGAAGCAATTGAAACCTAAAAAGTGTGAGCCCAGTTGGTAGTCCATATTGGAGTCAAAACCGTAAATTTTCATGCTTCACTATAATGTGGGCCAGTGAATGCCTCACTCAACAGCTGTTTAAAACCATCTGGTAACAATTTTTTCCAAAACTTTCATTTATAAGCATTCTTCTCAAGTTCCATTCTTTCTTTCTCTCAGCACTCCCACACTCCTCCAAAATGAATATCAAAGCTTTTGTAAAGAATTCAATTAATTTTTATTTTTATTTTTCACCAATTTTGAAACTTTGTTTTTGCTTTTATTTTTCCATATTCATTTTTTGGGACCCATCAGGCACCACTTGACCAAGTCTTGTGAATTCAATATTGTGATTGGAAGCTCTTGCATCCAAAACAAGCAGCCAAAAATAACAGTCCACCCACTGTACAGTGGGTTACTCAAAATGATGGTCTCATTGTTTTCCTTCCTAAATTTGAACCTACACTCTTCAAGTAATGAGACATGGTTAAGTGGTCCAAAAAGGGTTCTAAATAATTATTCTTGTAAAAAAATGTTAAAAATGATTTCCAAAATTTGGGAAAAATAACATACTTACTCATTTTTTGAGGAATTTTTAATATTGTTCCCAAAAATAAATTGAATAGTGGAAAGGATTAGGGAAGAATGATAGTAAATGACAAAAGTTGAGCCAAAAAACAATTCTGACAAAATTAAATTGACTCCAGCACTAATACTATCTGCCAGTGCAAGACAGCTGGATGCCTCACTTCATACCTGTTTCAAACCACCCATCAGTTGCTTTTTTCAAAATTTTCATTTGTAATCATTCTTCTCATCTATCATCCTGTTCTTCCTTCCTTTCAAAAAAAAAAATTATATACTCACATTTGAGATTTCAACCATTTGTAATCATTTTTCTCATATATCATCCTGTTCTTCCTTCCTTTCAAAAAAAATTTAGTCATTCACATTTGATATTTGAAAAAAAGTGAATATTTTCCATAAATTCTACAAAACAGTTTTCATATTTTTTTTACATAAACATTATTTAGATGCTCTTTTACACCACTTCACTGATTCCCATGACATTAATTTTGTCTGTTGAGCTGGTGCCCAAGGGTCATCTTTTTGCTTGCCCACTTGTCTGTTCCAAACTTATGTGACATCTCTAGGAAGGGGTGAAATTTTGACCCAGAGCAGCACTGGGACTTCTGACACCAACCAAATCACAAAGCTTCTTACAAGGAGCAATGATGAACCGGCCTATATTTGACAAGTGCATGAAATGGTTGCAAACTCATTTGCATATTTTTGAGGACTGGCCAAGTATATGTAGGTTTGGGACTTCAGTCAATCAGTTGCTCATTGCAGCTCTGTGAAGGGCTGATGAGATCATGACATACTTGAATTGCAAGTAGAAAAAAATTGGTTATTCTGATTTGGTTTTGAAAATGATACAATGAAGATGCAACAGGAAGATGTGAGACATGAGCCAAAAGAAGATGAAACAAAGACAATAAAACAAAACTTGTTTTTTTTTTTCAAATTTTTGAGTTATGGTCTTTGGACAATATGATTCAAATCAAGATGATTAAGCAGGCTCCCTGAAGTTCATTCCATGAGCTGAAAGAGTCCTGATTTCAACAAGTTAGATCATGTAGACGAAAGCCAATTCCACAAAAGGAGAGGATGGTGATACTGTAGCCAATGCCCCCCCCCCAAAAAAAAGAACCATGTTTCCCTGAAGAGGGAGAGAGAAGGCTGGAGCCAGAAGGAGACATAGACCCAAGTGGATAGATCAACTTCCATGAAATTTAGTGATCTGATTAGAGAAGACACTAGAGCAGGACAAGTAAGTTCTAACCAAAGAGTCCCAACAGAAAAAACAATGTTTGAGAGAGAAAAGCAAGTCAAGTACTAGAGAATGTTCTGTCCATCAGCAGAGATCAAGAGAAGAGTCCAACCATAAACAACAACACAAGAAGACAGATATCACTTCCTCATATGTCAACAACTAACCACCTATAACACATCTCTATCTGTCTGTCTATCTATCTATCTATCTCCATCTAACCAATCCATCAGCAAGAAGTCAATCACCTCAAGACATTCAGTTGTATATACACTTTATTTTTTTTTGCATGATAATTATTTTGAATTTGTGAAGTGTATATTGTAATATTTTCAAGTGGTAACGAGAGTGCCAGGAAAATAACTATAACAGGAAAGAAAGAGAGAAAAAAAGTCCAACGATCTGTTCAACGATTGATAAAACCTACACTTTGTTATGTACCTTTTTTTTATGTACCAGAGGGGATTTTTGAGATATATGTATAAAGGATAACCCAAGCAATGTTCTCTTTTTATTTTTTTTTTGTCTCGGTATCTCGTCTGTCCGTCCGTTTGTCCATCCATCCATCCTGCCAAGCAATCCATGAACCAAGCCAATAGTAACCTTTTTTTTATCAAGAGGAAAGAAAAGTTTAGAGGGAAGAGAACAGTCCAGCCCTGATCTTCGATTTCTCGATCGCATGTTCAGTCAAGACTAAAAAAAAAGAAAAGACGTTCCAACACAGTTAATACACTTCTCACGAATAATCGATACAGATAGATGAAGACTGAAATACTCAACCTGAATCCACAAAATCGTTCAACTGATTGATCCATACATCCACCAAATCAAATCAAAAAAAAAAAAAAAAAAAAAAAAAAAAAAAAAAAAACCGAATTGTCAATGAGACAAGATCAATCCAGATTTATATCTATCAAAGCAGCAAAAAGGTGGGGGAAAGATGAATGTAGAGAGAGAGAGAAGATAGAAGAGGGACTGACGAGGACCACCAAGCCTATCAACCCAAACCACGGAAACCGCACATCAGTCAGTACATCTATCCGATTAAAGCAACGCCGATCGAGCTTGTTTGTTCTTCCAGTTCAGACAAATAGAAGACATACCAGGTTCGATAAAATGTCTGCCTTTGACCCAAGTATACGTAAAAGGATCCAGGTTGGCCTTGGTATAGACGAGCAACGAAGACGCTTTGGAGTACGTGAGCGAGGTGAGAATGTCGTCTGCTATGCCTGTCATGAAAAAGAAAATCAACCGAATCCTTCAGAATCAGCTTGATCCAAGGCCGCTCATTCACTCCCAACTTTCTTCGAGAAAAAAAAGGGGTCGGTGAAAAAAATAAAAAGGGGGCGCTTAACTCTTCGTCGGAGTTGCCTGAACCAAAGCCAAGCCCATCAAAATAAGAAAAAAATGTCAAAATCAGTCCTGCAAAACAAAAAAAGAGTAAAAGGCAAAAGAGAAGAGGCTGAACCTGGAGCTGATAAATAGTCCCAACGAGTGGTTTATCGGTCTGAGTTTTGAGAGGGACCGAGTTCCGAGCATGAGTGAGATCCAAAGCACGAATGATTTCGTCCGGTCGATCTGCCACAAGAAAGAAAGCAAAAAAAAAAAACAAAGTTTCAAAACAAAGACTGAGAGCAGAATGTGGGGAGAAAAAAAGCGTACCGGTATCGTATAAAGTATGATCTGTTTATGAAGCGGGGGGAAGAAGATAAGTTAAGATGAAGAATAAAAATTAGGAGATATAGTGATTGCTAAAAAGAATCAAGCGAACCATAAGAGTCATCACGATCCCAATCCCATCCTTGTTCAGGTGTCTGTCCCATCCGATGAATGATGATGAACCGGACCTGATCTTTGAGCAGTTCTCCGATCGGTCGGTCGAGGTCTGCCGGTCCGCCGACCTGGATCTCATGCACTTGGGGCAACTGGCCCTCCAGATTCTGTCTCGCCTCGTCCAAGGCTGAGGCCAACGCCGCTTTCGTGGGGATCATCGAGTGGAACGGAATCGAGTCTTTTCGCCAGGTCGTCTTACGTGAAATAAATCCTACAATTATCATATTTATCTTTTTTCAGTTTTTTTTTCTTGTCTGCTTTTTTTTATTTTGGGAGGGTGGTTTAGAAATTTGGAATTGGTTGACTGCTTACCATCACTTTTCAACTGAGGTTCATCCATTGGAAGAAGCACAAACACGCGTAAGGAAAATCCTTAATCCATCCACAACAAATTCAAAGAAAGAAACAAAAAAGCATACCTCAAAAACCACAATTTCCTTCGGATGAGAAACCAAGAACGAGAAAGTTTCCTCCAGAGCTTTAACGTATTCATATCCAGGCACACAGCTAAAGAAATACGGAGTAGAATAAACAAACCTTGAGAATTAAACGGATGAAACCAGGTTTTTTTCATAAAAAACAAAAAAACTTACGCATGTTGATGATGGATTCGACCCCTTTCCCCGTTCAAACAATCGTGGAAACAATACCCTGGTCTATACAAAAACGCACACTCTTTTATTAAAAAATGAAAATTATTTTTCCAATGATAGTACGACAAGAAACGAATGAGCCGAAAAGAAAATACAGAAGAACATCAAACCCTGTTCAAAATACGAACCTAAAATCAAAGAATCTGCAAAAAGAAAGATGAAACCTCAACAATGGAATTTCCTGAGGAAAACAAAAAACAAAAGGAACGGGGAAAAAGAGGACGTACCTAGTACCATGACGGAGCTGGTCAAAGATCACGTCTTTCTGGGTATTAGCAATATTGCAGATGGCCAGCTCGAGGTCGATGTTGAAGGTCTTCAACAACTTGGTCAAGATATGAACAAATGAAATCCCATGATCGATCAAGAAATTCCCACTAAAGAACAAAAACAAGATCAGGTCGAATACCTTCAAAAAATGCAAGGAGAAACGACTCACATGTCTGAATCTAACTTCATCTTGGTGATCATCTTAACAAACCTGAATCATATAGATTATGTTCAGTACATCTTGCAACTCAACTTTTGCCTTCCCTTCGACCAATCCCCCCTCAAAATAAAGCAAAGCCGGAGGAAGAGTGAGGAGACTGACCCAGGATGTAAGCTAGTAAACATTCCGGAATCGTGTGAGCCTTGCAAGACCAACTTGGAGAACCGAACGTCCAACCAGCTTTAGCCGTCATGGAATCCACCAAAAACAATCCTAATTCAATTATTCGACTCGACAGAAAGGGGGGAAGAAAGACTTTGCTTACCGTTGATCTTGATCGATCAAGTCGCCCAACCAATGGCTGTAATTCGGGGTAGCATAAGCATACATCTAACGCAAAAACAAGACGATTGCGAAAATAAATAAATAAAACGAGTAGACAGATTAATCGCGTTGATTTCCAAGATTTTTCGGTCAAATCATTCCGAGATCTTCTCGACTTTCACAGGAGAAAGAGAGGACGAACGGAATGACGTTTGCCCATCCTAGAATCATGGAAGCCGTACGAGATGGAAAGGTCCAGCTCGGGCAAGAAGACTGATTTGGTATCCGCTGTCGACGCTAGTCTGTGTATCTTATCGCCCTCAGTCCTACAATTTCAAAAATACAATTTCAAACACATTTTTTTTTGCAATTCTCAATATCTTCGTTTTTGTGAGGGAGATATAGTTTTCTCAAGAATGTTTATACTGACACTAGTCCACTGTTATCAGATCCATTTTCGAGAGAAAAACATTTTAGAACTTCAAGATATATGTTGTGATGAGAAGAAAAGGGAAAAGAACGTACCTGAGGGGATTAATTGAAGCCGAGCCTAAAGAAATGTGGAAAGAATGAGATAAGTCAAACAAGGATTAGGTGTGATGTAGGGAGAGAGGGGGGGGGGGGGGGGGGGAGTGACGAACGATGTAAGATAGGCTCGATAGTATTTGAATGTTGGATGTAGAGGAGAGCGCGGAGGGAGTTAAGGCCGCCTAGGGTATGATCGGACCTGATGAATTTAGGAATAAGATTAGAAGAAGGAGAGACATGTTGATGTTGGTGGTATCTAGCGTCTTTACCGACGCGGAAGGAGAGGATGATTTGAGGATGAGAGACGTAGGAGAAGGTGGAGAGACGTTTGGTGGGCAAGCCGATCGGGGGTTTCAAGGGGGTATCATCGACCGTGTTCTCCTCCTTCTCGATCTCCTCTTGGGTGAGTTTGAAGAGGACGAGGTTGAGGGAGCTCAAGATTTCGACGGATCCGATGAGTCCTGAAGGCATCGGCCGTTCCCGACTCGAGTCCAGGTCGAATCTTCCCAATAATCCCTCGCTGATCGTCGTCCCTCCACGCCCTAGTTTCACATAGGCCTGTAAATGTAGGACGTATCCGTTGGGCTTGATCAGGTCGAAGTAGATCCATCCTAGCCGTGTCTTGCTCGTCCGTGAGCTCTCGAATAGGCCGCTGGGTTGGTCGATCTCAGCAAGGGTGATCGATCTCTGGGTGAACTCTTTCATGACGGGTGGGATTGAGTTTGGATTGAAGCAGGTCCCACCTGTTTGTTTTTTTGAAGCGGTCAGTCTATGTTTTTTCCATATCTGTTTCAGTCTATGCTGATACTCACGGTATGATGATAGATGGTAGGAGGACTGTTTGATGTGATTTGATTTCTTGAACTTGGTTGGCCACTGGGCGATTCTGATCGAGGCATCAGTGGTTTGGTTGTCGATCTTGAGTTTGATGGATGAGTTATCAGGAGTGAATGGGGTGGTGAACTGTAGGGTGGCTGAGGCTAGGTTGAAGATCGACTGGGATGGTCTGATGGTTTTCTTGGTGTTCTTGTTCTTGTTCTTGTTGAGTGAGCTGAGTGAGAGTGATGAGTTTGAGTGGTGTCTGAGTGAGTTGGTTGTTGATGATGATGCTGATGAGGTTGATGAGCTGATGGTCTGTTGGTCTGAGTTCATTCTTGATGGTTTTTGGTTGAAGTTGGGAGTTGGCCTCCTCTTTGAAGTCTTGGCTGTCTTGGCCAAGTGGTAGTACATACATTGTCACCTCACCTGTCACATGAATCCTCATGTCACACATCCACTGAAACGGTCTCCTCCGTAGAAACCAGTTGTTGTAGCTCGACTACGTAATCTTAGGTAAAGATCACATCTCACTACAGTCTACGTCACGACTGACATAGACGATGGTCTCGACGAGACATCCGATTCTCTCATGTCACTCTTTTCTCTCTTTTGTCTTACATAATGTGTCCTATAAATAACCATGTATTTCTAGCCACATTATGCTCGTGTCCTCTATGCAATCTACGATTAGCTTCTTCTTCCCTCGACTTTACGTCTCGTGCCTCTTTAGGTTATGAGCCTTTCTCGTCTTTCGTTTTAGTTTTTTGGCACGAGTTATATTTTTTAAAATTACATTCTTTGAAATTCTTCAATCGTTTACGGTCTCTATCTTGGTGTGCTCTTATATGATCAAAGTCCCATGCGGTGGGCAAAGTTTCTCTTTAGTTCTTTAGTGGCCTGTGTGGCATCTATTATTTACTGTGCCTGTGTGGCGTTTTTTTGTACTGTGTGATTCTTCTCTCTACGCCTGTGTGGCCAACTTATGTGCCTGTGTGGCCTCTTCTCTCTATGCCTGTGTGGCGGGTTTTCTCTTCTACTTAGTGACTCTCTTAGCAATATGTGGTGTTTGGTCTTCAGTCATTTCCAGCGATGTACAGTAATTAGTGTCGCATCGTCTTCAGTGACATCAATTTTTTCTGTTATACAGTTTTAGTAGTACTGTTCCATTTTTTTTCTTTGCAACCATCAACAACTCCCTACCATCGCCTGCCGCTTATACTCTCCCGTCCGTGGTTTCTTGTGATATTTCAGCTCCTGAGTCATACTTCTTTTTGGACGACATCCATCACGAGTCTATCATTCAACCTCGCTATGACAGCACCCCAGCATGTCCAGCCTTATGCCGTTTTTTTCCCCCAGTTCGGACCAACTGTGTCACTCGCATGAAGTTGTACTGCTTGTTATTTGATTACTGAATAGTTTCACCTAACAATTTTTCGGCCGCAATCGTAATTTGCTCATTTACTTTACGGTACTGAATCTTGAGCACATCGGCTCGTACAGTCAACTCCATGGATGTCGGTCTCTGATTTGCTTGGATCAATCAAGCATCACCAATGCGTTAACAATTCGAACACAAGCGGAGCATTAGTCCATGAGCCGTTTACTCCATCATTTTGTGCTCTCTAGGTTGTCAGTTTTTTACGTCCACCAGTAACTTTACTGAATGCCAGCAACCTCAGAGGCGGTTGAAGATCAGTGCTATACCTGGACTGTGGCTATTGCGAACGTTGGCCAAAGCATGCTCCTGTACTCTTATCTTGGCCGGTGACCCTGCCCCATGAAGCATAATTTCTATATGTCTGTCCTCAGCTTCCTACACTAGGCCGTCTGTAGGTGATCGACAACACGGCAGTATGGTCCTTCACATCTCAACCTCACGCCTTTGCTTGGTAGGAATCTGAGCGAACTATCAATTGTTTTCAGCTGCCCTTTGACAAATCCCGGCACATCACTGTTTCTACTGTTGTTGTTTTGTTCTTTCCGATCCTTTGGAGACAACAACTTCTGGGAAGTTAACAAGCTGGGGGGGTTACTGTGTTCAAATATGTCCGATAACCGTACCCATCATCGACATCAATTTTTTACTTTTGAACCTGTTCAATTACCACAGAGGTCAAAATTTGTGAATTTGTTGGGGTCGCAACGGACTCTGGATCAATTTCTGGTAGTAATATACCTTGCGGCCGAGACTTTATCTATCACCTCCGACATATCATACATCAGCTTCTCGCCGTGATAACTAATCAGCAAAGCGGCATCTTGGGCGGCATGTTTGGCTTGTTTTTGTTGGTGGTCTAGATTCCCTACCGTCTCCGAAATTCGCTGGCTACCATGGATCATCTGGCTCGAACCAACTTGGTTCTAGAGCTGTCGATGATTAGTTATTGAAGTCGTTGTGTATTGCAAGAACGGATCAACCTGGATAATTCGACTAGCGCCCGTGATGATGCTGTTGGATCACTACTCTAGTCCATTGATCTTCATAATCTATGGAGAGACGTATTGAGCCGGGATTGCTTCACCACCGGTTGCTATTTTACCTGCTCGGATTGTTTCAGTTCAGAAGACCAAAAAACCCTCTCAGTGACGTCTCCAAGCGCCTTGGATCTTCAGCCCAATCGGATTCATACTACACCAACTCCTCGTCAGACGACCCGCGAGGATGTCCCGTTTTTTTTCTGTTACCTTCCCTCGACTATGGATTGGACAAGTTACGGGATCGTCACAGCCGTACTACAGTAGTTATTGGACCCAACCGTTGGTTCTCAATCAGCATCTCATGTGAAAGGTTCCGACCGATGTCGCTGGGATTTACTTTGTACTCGACACTCGGACGCTCGGACTTCTTGTTGGACACCTGGTTGAGAAGCTGCTATTTTCATGGGCATTAACTGCATTCGGAGTGTTGTGGTTTTGCTTTGTTCTACGAATTCTTCCTGAACACCAACTCTACTAGTACTTGCCATACGTCTTCAGACAAACTGTTTGACCGGAATCGGAATCGCTTTTGTCAATTTTCTAGCAGCTCCTACTCATGCAATTTGGACCCACAGCTCTCAGGTTTCATGAGGTTTTTGTTGTGACCACCAACCGCGGCAACTTGACGCAGCGTTTGGCTTGCTCTTCCAATCGGCGTTCACAAAATTAACCAGCACAGATTGCTTCTAGTCTACTAATGAGGATGAATCGGAAGGATTGCTGCTGCAGCGGCGACAATCTGCTATCTGGCTCAGTGGGTTTTGCAAGACCATCTCGGCTTGGAGCATATGACGTTTCTTCTACATCTTGGATGTCCAGATCGATCCGGTCAACTCTAGATCTACCTTGGTTCAACGACTCTCTGGCTCCCTTTGTTTCCGATATAGAAAAGGGGGTCGGCACATGTGGTTGCTCTTATAGAGTGTTGTGGTCTTTCAAGCACGACAGCATATCAGATGCGTGGCCTATTGCTCAACGAATCAAATTGGATTCATAATTTAAGGAAATCAGTAATCACATCGCCTTGGCCTTATTCTGGGAAAAATGTAGACATGATCAGTTCACTTGGATCAAAGAGGATGATCTCTGGCGGTTTCATCCTAGTCATTGGCAGTCAGCAAGACCAATTCAAGATCCCTCATGCCGAGGCTTCCGACCCATGTTGCTGACGGATTCCTTCCAACTACTGGGCAATCGACATAGACACAACATCAATACATCATGATTGATTTTGCAACACCATACCGCTTGTGACCTCTTGTGATTCACCAAAACCGCATACTCTTCATCTACTTAGTCACTGTGTTGGAGTCTCGTCGAGTGGGGGGGTGTTGTAGCTCGACTACGTAATCTTAGGTAAAGATCACATCTCACTACAGTCTACGTCACGACTGACATAGACGATGGTCTCGACGAGACATCCGATTCTCTCATGTCACTCTTTTCTCTCTTTTGTCTTACATAATGTGTCCTATAAATAACCATGTATTTCTAGCCACATTATGCTCGTGTCCTCTATGCAATCTACGATTAGCTTCTTCTTCCCTCGACTTTACGTCTCGTGCCTCTTTACCAGTGGCATCGACCACACCATCCTCATCACAAGCAAAGAGCTACTGGTCAAGATCCTCAATGCAGTGAAGCATCCTCAAGCATCTGGATTCAGCTGTTTTTTTCCCCCATCATAATCAAAGAACATTGAAATCGTCTATTTTATATGACTTCTTCAACAACCATCCATTCCCTCAATCACCCAGACGTCCCAAACTTGGAGTACATAGTAAGCTTTTAACAAAACAGCCAATTTGTATGCTCTTTATAAGCATGTAGAATAATCAATTGTTTCTTCCAAGAGTATGTGCCCATCAATTCATGCAGTTTCTCCACAACTCACACCAACATTCTATCTTTTTCTCCTAGGACAACACAGAGACTTTGTATGTAGTCAAAACAAAAACCAGAAGAGAAGAAATGGGGTTATTATAGCTTGATATTTTAGAATCATGTGTTTTTTTGTTGACAATCATGAAGATTCAAGTTAGGATACAAGTACATCCACCCATCTCCCTCACAAGTTTCCAATTTTTTTTTTCAAGAAGCCTGATAGATCTACAAGTAATAACCTGTGTACGCTGTTGTTGTTTTCAATGCAGCATTTTCAGTGCTAACTTTGACATGTGTGGACCATCCTTCTCTAGGATAAGGTATCCATTTGAATGAACAGAGATCAAGATAGGGATTGTTGATCCCCCGCCCCCCCTTTTTTGGCTATGGTGTCTAGGTAAACAATCATATTCCACTCTGTATCCGCTACAAGGCCCATTAGTTAGCTATAGTTATGACACAAGACTCTCGAACTGCGGGTGAGGCCTGGTTTCATGGATGTACAGAGTTTTCCCCCCTAAGCCGGCGGGTAAGAACTGAGATCACCACCACAAGCCAACAATAAAAGATTGATGTGAAAATGCTTATATATTTGAATTTAAAAGAAAAACAAGAAAAAAAAATGAACCAGAAATTAATCGGATTTTGGTACAGATGAAGAAGATTTAGTTGGAGCCAAAGGTTTGGGGAGTTGGTCGGTCAAAGCGAGAGCGGCGGCCCTCCTCCTCCGATTGACCTTCCACCATCCGGGATCTGGCTTAGCTTTAGGGGGCGTAGTCTGCTGGGCTGTCCGGGTTGGACTGGTCCACCGAGGGGGCAGGATCCGGTGCGGGGTTGCTTGGATCACTTGGGCCCCCTTCTCGAGTTTCTCGGCCCATTTCTCCGGGTCTAACATCATTGCTTTGCCAGTTTCTGTAGAAAGTTTTGTTAGGTCATGCAAATTCATCGGTATAGGTTGAGTCTAGAAGAGGTTGGGGACGTACTTGTAACGGATGGAGGTATCCTGAGTTTTCCGTTATCTAGGACCTTAGTACCCAGAGGTAACAAGCCTATATGGATATATATGCCTGTCAGTATTATTACGAGGTTGCGTAGACAGAGCTATGAGGGCGTACCTCTGCGTCTGAATCTTGACAGGATACCGCGCGGTCCTCTGCGAGTTGAGGCGATGGCGACTCTCAATGGGATGCGTGGTTTGGTGCCCCGGGAGGTAGTTTTAGTTCTCAAGAGTTTCAAATCTCTAGGATGGTTGACTGCAGATGTGGGAGAAACACAGATCAGCGGCAAGCTTCTTAATCTAAGAGAGGGAGAACTGACCGATTCCGCCGGCCTGAAGCAATCTGAGAGCACTCTGGCTGGGTTGTGCGCCGACGCCGAGCCAATACCTGATCCGATCGACGTCCCATCTGATCTCTTTACGGGAGGAGATCTCGCCGCCACTTGCGAGTCCGTCCTTGATCCTCTGGATGGCCGCGGGATCCTTGAGGGTTCGGGCCCGCTCGACTTGGTGGACGAGTTCGATGAGCGAGGGTGGCTTGACTTTGAGGATCGGATTCGGACTGAATACTCCGAGCTGCTCGATCGGCTGGGCATCCCTCCGCTTGGGCGCTTGGATGGCTACCAGGTTGTAGAGTGCATGGTTTCGTGGGCCTGTTCGGGACAGTCTGATTCGGATGACCATCTCCTTTTTCTTCCTCGTCCTTGATGGTGGGTGTGGTCGTGGTTTTCTTTAGGTGGCTGCTCTCCTGCGAGAGGTCTCTCTCTACCCCTAGCAGATGTCACGGGTGACTGTCACAGATACCCAGATCTTAGTATGTAGGATTTTCAAGCAAAAGCTGATCGAAACCAATTGGATGCTGATAATGCTCTTCCTGCTTGAGGGGTACATATGTCGACCAGTCCCAAATAAACAAGTTATCAAGAGCTTGAACAGTTTAAAATCAGAGTAGCTTTCCCCCACTGTCACCACGGGATGATTTTCATAGGATCAGAAGAGCCTGTTGCTGCTCCAGCCTGAATGGTGCTGACACTAGGGGAGAGAATGGACAGAGTGCAGTACATAGTCTTCTTTCCTACAAACAAACAAACGAACGAACAGGCAAAGAAAAAAAAAAAAAAAAAGGAAAGGCTGTGAAAAAACCCACTTCTATCGATGCACCCCTGGGGAACATTCAAAAAAACCAGCAAGAGCCGACAACAACACAAGAATGATAAACAAACAACAACAACAACCGAGCCCAATGGAAGAACCAAGAACCGAGGAACAACAACAGACCAATAACAACAACAACAACAACAACCGAGTAACGAGGATGCAGAGGAGAGCGAGGATGGACGAACAGAACAACATCCCATTTGACGAGGGAAGACTGGGAAGGGAGATCGAAGCTGAACACCAACTAGGACTCTCCAACTGGATCCCACTCTTCCTCGTCATCCTACCTAACCTGGGCGCAATGTTCTTCGACGGCGAGCCCGAGAGTTGGAGGGACTCATTGATCTTCCTACTCATCGTCTTCTTCCTCTACAAGATCTCAAAAGGTAAAATATTCTCTCTCTCTCTCTCTCATGATAATCAACATCAGAACTTACTTGCCGCGCTGGTTTCGTATGTGGTATTTGTACAGCTCCCTGGCAGTTATACGCCTCAGCCCGAACCACTCGGATCCTTAACCAGGCCCGGATCCAATCCAACGCCAGAGGAGCTGATCATCCTCGGGAGAGAGTAGCCAACAAGCCATACAGCAAGACGATCTATCCGATCCGCACCGATCAATACCTCACCGAGCTCAAGCGGAACGAGATGGGCTTCCTGCTCCTGGCCACCTTCTCACCCGCACTGGGCATCGGCCTCCTACTCTACCTACAGACCAAGCTCGACCTCGGTTTAGAATACCTCAACAGCCATTCCACGGTCCTCTATCTGCTCTCATCGCTCGTCAAACCCTTGGGCCATCTGCACGATCGGCTCCTCCAACGATCACGCTATCTCCAGAGCCAGCTCCAGTTCCCGGTCCGGCTGGCCGACCAGTTCAACCAGACCATCGACCAGCTCACCCTCCGTCTGGCCGAGCTCGAACAGGACTCGCTCTCCAAGGCCGAGTTGGAGGCCTTTCGGAGGACCCAGATCGAGACCCCCTTGGCCGCGCTCGCAGATCGACTGGCCAAGTACAAGACCAACGACGAGCTTCATCAGCTCAGGGCTGCGTCAAGGCTCTCGGGACTCGAAGAGACACTCGCTCAGCAACTCGGCCAACTCGAGAAGGCCGAACAAGCACTCGACATCCTCCAACAGCACGAACAATCCCTCCAAGCCTCCCCGATCCATTCCCTGGGGAAGATCGTCAACGGGCTCCTCGAACCGTCCTCGCTCCCGATCGGGGGAGGAGATGGCCATCATCATCCCTCTTCACCCAACCCACTCAAATCTCCTCACACCAATTGGCACTCCGACACCCCTTCTCCAGGATCCCTGAAGCGTCGATTGTCGATCGATGATCGTCTCCAGGTGGGCGAGGAGCATCGCAAGCCAGGCTACTTGGGCCTTCTGGTCCGGCTCCTGAACCCCTTCCACAGAAGCCCATCATCGTCCCAGGTCCACGATGACCATCGACCCACCGGCCGACGCGACACCAAGCTCTCTGCCGCATCCGACGCGTCTTCCCGAGGCCAGAGGAAGCAGCCGGGGAGGGTGGTTGTCAAGCTGTTGATGTGGCCGATCGAGATGACAGTGGTGAAGCCCCTGCGGCTCGTCGTCCGGGTCTCCAAGCGCATCCTCCGTCTCCCGTTGTTTCTAATCCAATGGGCCATGATCACAAAGAGACCATCGGGAGCCCGGCGGACGCAGAGCCGCGAGCCCGACAGTCGCGGCTGGCCAAACCCCGGACGCCGGTCCCCTTCGGACCCCGCTCCGCGACACCCGCGCCCAGCCTCGCCGCCCTCCTCCGCCTCGCCCGTCTCCAGCCCCGACAGCCCCTCCTCTAACTTGGACATCCTCCTTCATACTCACCATCATCCCTCGCTCCCGCATCCTGCTAAACACAGGTCATGGCCCGCCCAACCTGCCTTCTATGACCATGTCGACGACGACAACAACCATCCGGTCTCGTATCACGACCATCTCTTCTGACTTCCTCTTTTGTTCTCAAGCATCTTCTCTTTCTGATCACCTCACTCGTCCTTCTCATCTGCTCCTTCTTACCCACCCACCCCCCCTTATCACCGAAACTATTACCCTCAATATCATCTCATCCGTGTCTCTACTGTTCATTATAATTTACCACAATACCCCCAAGATGATTTTTTTTTGGTTTGTTGGCTGCTGATCCTGATGAGCTTTTTTGGTTTTTTTTTTTTCAGATATACCTTCCCCTTTTTATTGTTGTTGTGATTTTTTTTTGTAAATCATCATTATTGATTATCAACCAAAGTATACCGCATCATTATGATTACCACCCCTATGTTTACTATTGTCTGATGTACACAACCTTCATCTCTCTCTCTCTGTACTCTTTTTTTTTCTGAAGATCAGATCATTGGCTTGATCAGTCCAATGCTTTATCACTTACTTATCCTTATTACCCCATATGACTATCAATCTCATCAAATATGATGGTCATACAAGTTCTCTTATCTTACCTACTGACTTAATCAACATTTTTTGTATCTAACTAGGTCTTATATCCCCCTCTGTTAAAAAAAATGTTTATGGCAACTTAAGTTATATCTCACCTAAAAAAAATGTGCATATATATATATGTGTGTGTGTTTTATTACAAAGAAAAAATATTCATTTGGTGAGGGGATATTTGTGCACAGACACAATGAAGCTGATCAAGAGAACTACAGAAAGATGGGGGAGGTAAGTGAAAAGGGAGCCTTATAAGTGCTGAAGATCTTCAGACTGGTGCAAATTTAGCAATGAACAACCCGTCTAAACAAGTCTGTTACTGGAGTGAATAGATCTAAGGAGCCCAATTTGGCATACAATCTTGGGCATTTATTTTCGCTGTTCAAGGCAAGGGGAAGGGGAAGGCTGGAGCAGCAGCAGACATGGTCCACAAAGATGTGCTTGAAAAACACACATGTAGGCCAGTGGGGCTAAGCAGGTCCTGAGGTAAGGCTATATAAAGACTCAAGTGGTGTCCTGCAAGGTCAGAGTCATCCAGCTGGACTGTTGGTCTTGCATTGCTTCTCCTCAGTCTCAGAGCTGTCTCGATCACTCTTCATACAAATCATCTTGTGCATATGGGTGCAGTATTGGTTCATCATGCGGAAAAAAACAGACACCTGGGATGATATGATCAACAAGCTAGAAACTAGTGACATGTAGGCTTGATGCACTGCAGAAGGAAAGAGAGCTGCAATGCTTCGATGAGCAACAATTAGAGATGGTCGGGGATAATCCACTGCGGATATCCGCTATCCGCTGGCAAATACCCGCCAGTGCCAGCGGATACCCAACAGGGGGTGCAGGTTCGGCTTTGGATGGCCGTTTTCCCGCCCAAATCTGGTGGATACCCCAGGCCAATGGCCGGCTGGAAGGGTTTCCTTCCAGCCGGCAAGGTCCTTCCAGTTGGCAAGAATGTACCTCACCGGCTGGAAGGGCTTCCTTTCAGTCAGGGAGGTACATGTACCTTGCCTGCTGGAAGGAAGCCCTTCCAGTCGGTGAGGTGCATGCTTGCCGGCTGGAAGGCCCTTCCAGTCAATGAGGCATGTACCTTGCCATCTGGAAGGGCTTCCTTCCAGTCAACAAGTTACATGTACCTCACTGGCTGGAAGGAAACCCTTCCAGCCAACAAGGTACATGTACCTTGCCTGCTGGAAGGAAGCCCTTCCAGTTGGCAAGGATGTACCTCGCCGACTGGAAGGAAACACTTCCAGCTGGTGCCTCACCGGCCCTTTAAAGGGCAGGTATCCAAGGATACCCGCTGAGGCGGGGGGATATCTGCCAGCGGCTGCGGATGGCTTTTTCCCCATAAAAAGCAGCCGGATATCCGCATCCGCGCAGATATCTGGATGCGCCGGGGCCATCTCTAGCAACAATCCAAACAGTTCCCCTATCTTTTTTTCTTCCTTCTTGGTGGCAAGTTTCCATTGGTGCATATGCTTTGTTCTGATCTTCTTTTTCTTAGCTCCTTCCAATGCCTCAATTTCCAATTTCCCCCCCCCCTCCCCACCCCTTCCCTCATTGTCACAAATATAAAGTCTTATAGATCATTCAATATAAAAACAATGAATGAATGTTGTGGAGTAGTTATTGGCAAGTATGTAAATCTGATGCACATGAGTTTCATTTCACAAAGTGATCACAAATTGTACACATATATGTGATTGACATCATGATGGTATATCAAAAAACTTTTTTTTGCTCCGGGACCTGTCCAGCAAAATAAACCTTGAACTATGATTGGTTATCATCACAAAAGTACATATTACATAAACATTCCAAAAGGGCGGGGGAGTTCATACAAGAGCATCTTGTTTTTGCTTCTTGGAAGCCTAAGAAATCCAACTTGACATCAATTTGTTTAGGCAAAAAGGTAAGTAAGATTGCCAGCTTGACCACTGGATGTAGCTTTGGCTGAAGGGTACTGAGACATTGTTATAAGTAAACCAACACATAGTTGGAGCAATTGTCATATCATTCACTCAAACCTCTGTGATGTGAGGTGTGAAAATTTTTGATTTGGATGTTTCTTGCTAGTACTGTTAAAACTGCTTGTTGCAAGAAGCTATTGTGAACCCTGTATTTAAAAATCCTAGAATCAAATTGTTGATGTCTTGCAATCATTTTTATCTTGCTTTATTTTGCTTTTGTGTTGTTGTTGTTGTTGTTGTTTTGGTCAAATTCCCATTTTTCTGGCAAAGAAAGAAACACCATGTGGTAAAATCTTTGGAGATGAATAGGTATTTATGTTCCTATTTCCTTTCAAGGAGTTTTTTTTTGTTCACAATTTTTGGATTTTGAGGGCTTTTCCTCAATGATTAGATTTAGACATTTGCAATCAAAGACATTCACAATAGTGTACCCCTTTTGGATGATGAGGCACTGGCTCAAAATGGTTCGATTTCAGTTTCGGTCATAGGTCGTCGTCGGGTTCTAGCAGGTTCGCGCACCCACCCAGCCCAGGCTAGAGAAGCTCTATTCCGAGTGAGCTCCGAGACAGGCTTACGTAATCTTGGGAAAACTGGTAACCAACCTGAAACAGCCATCTGACAACTCACCTTCAACCTCAAGCCTCCGATCCCAAACTTCCCATCTCTAGCCATCGGTACAGTAGGCTTTCCTCTACGAATCAACCTCATTCCCGAACCCCACCAGCCGACCAAACCAATAACACTATCATCATGAGCGGATGTAAGTCTGCATGTCTGACTGATTCCTTTCTTTCTCTGTCAACTAATCCTAGTCCTTCTGTTCTATTCCTTCCTGGTGGAATTTTACTACTACCACTGACAGGGGATGATCAGGTTGTCATCGGTCGTAAGACCACTGGCCCTCGAGTGGCCAGGGATCAAGCAACCGTGAATGCCGCAAGACGAGCTGGGGAAGCAATCGATGCCTCAAAGAAGAGTAAGTTATATCATTTCTTCCAACTATTCGGACTTCTTGTCTTTTATTTATTTTGGATACCTTGGCCTCAACTAATAAAACTTGAACATTTTCACTTGTCTAGGTGTCATCAACGCTTCCCACGTCGGGCCAGACCATCAACGGATCGCCAAACTCGACCGGGAAAACGATGTAGCCCCGCCCGCAAAGATCAAACCATCAGTCGCACAGGCGATGAAAGATGCTCGGATCGCTTTATCGATGACACAGAAAGATTTGGCTGCCAAGACGAACGAAAAACCCACTGTGATTGGAGACTACGAGGTATGTATAATAGACCCTTCAATCAGTCCCTCTTCCTTCCATCTTTGAAGTCAGGCCCGTTAACTTTGATCATCCATCGGTTCATCCGACCATTCTAGGCCGCCCGAGCCGTCCCTAGTCCTCAGATCTTGGCTAAATTCGAAAGAATCTTACAGGTCAAGCTACGTGGAAAAGATATCGGTGCTCCTCTAGCACCCAAACCAAAGAAAACTTGAGTGCAAGTCGTTCAAAAAAATCCTCAATCAGGCAAGATGATCTGCTTCACCTCTAGGGTTGAAAGTTTCAGAAAGTAATCAGCTTGTGAAACCTATAAACCCAAACAGAAAGTTTTTTCATTTTTGTTTAAATCTCATTGTTACCACTGTACTTGTTTTGCAAAAAGATCTAAAAAAGAACAAGAAATGTCGTCTTCTTCTCTCAGCCAACCAAATGATTTTCCCTCACATGAGAAGTGTCACAGGTTTTTTTCCTCCTGCAGGTAGTAACAGAATGGGCATCTTCCCTATGTTCTCCAGAGTTGTAGCATCACAGTCCAGTGTACCATTGGGTCTTGAAACCACCCAAAAAGGCTAGAGATCCTGAAGTTTGACAGATGTTGGTGGCTGAAACAGTTCAGTGTAAATTTAGGCAAGTAATGGGGGACTTCCTGTTGCCTAAATTGCTTGATCTAGAAGGGGGTCCTAAACTCTATTGGCTGGTGAAAACTTGATCTTGATCAATTTTTGCCAGCAAATAATGTTTAGGATGTCCATCTAAATTAACAGATTTGGACGACAGGAAGTCCCCCAATGGAAGACTTCCTGTTTTCTGGAATCCTAGATTCCAGATTTTCCCAAAATTGGTTTTTTGTCATCTTCATTGTCTAGATCTGCAAAGCAGCCTCTAAATTCCCTCAGATTTTCCTGTCAGCTGAGGTGTGAGCACTTGGCTCAAGTTCATTGACCCAACCAACCTTTGATCAACTCAATTGCAATGAGCTTTCAAGTCAAGCAAAGTATGGACAACCGGCTTGGCTGGCTCACTCACCATCAGTCCCTCTCTGGACAACCGGATTGATTCATTCAGGTTCAACAGCGCTTGATCCGGGATCAATTTGAGCAACTTGCAGTGTGTTGACGTGGAGAGGAAGATGAAGAACTATGTGTTTTGTCTCAATGGTGTTTTCAGGCGGCTGATTCAGTGCCTTTTGATTGGCTTTCAGCTAACCTGAGATCCCAGAGCATGACTGCCAGTGCAATTTTTCAAAGGGTTTGTTGAGATGTTGGATGCCTACAGGTCATAACTGGAAAGCTGGTGCGACAATGGAAACCCTCCTGTAGATCTGGAAGGCGGGCCTCCCCAGGGCACACCAAAACTTCTGGGAGAATTTTGTCCAGATCTGGATCTAGGAGGGCCTTCCAGATTGACAGGAAGTCTTCCAATGAGTGCATGTTTTGAAAAAACTAGTGAAGGTGATCATGAATGGCATCCAGTGGCCCCCTGGGATTTACATAAATCACAAACCCTGAAGGATGGGGTGTTCTATAGAACGAGGAGATTGACTTCCAAGCTAAATCAATAGATTCAACTTAACCAACCCAATGATCCAAATCCTGTGATAATCTTATGATCATGGAACTAGATGGAGTGAGTCAAATCTCAAACTTCTGGCTATCAAGGAATAGTAATTTTAACATTCAAACCAAGCCTAATTGAACCAACGGTGGGCCAGTTACACTAACCATAGTGTAGCAGAATTCCGCTAAACTTTAGCGTAGCGTAGCGGAATTCTGCCACATCTTGCACTAACACTACATGCATAGGCCCCAAAAAAGGGCCCACTATGCTTCACTAACACGCTGGTTAGCGGTTTTTTGGCCCTGTAGTGCTGTTAGTGGCCTGTAGCGCAGCGAAAATCTGCTACAAATCTGCTAACACTACAACTTTTTGGCACCAAAAAGTGCCACTACTCTACGCTTTTTGGGCCAAAAGTGTAGTGTAGTGTAGTGTAGCGGCCCACCGCTTTCAATGTGCATAAATTCTAGGTAGGGTGTCTAGTTATTTGAATTCAGAAGGTCATTCAGATCTAAATTACAGCACATTTGAAAGCTACATGGATGATCCACAGCAGGAAAATTTGATTTTTGAGATGACCAGGAAGGAAACATCTGGGAATTCAGAAAGTGTTTTGGAGAAGAATAACTTCAATCATTGCAAATCTGACAATCAGGTATACTTCAAACAAATCAGCAATCAAGAAGAGAATGAGAAAAACAAAAAGAGAAGATACCTGTGACCTCAGAAGAAAGTGGTTTGTGGCAAGTCCCTCAAACAATTCTACCCCGGATGTAGTACCATACTTGTGAAAGATGAGTGGCATGAGCTATGACATCCTGATTTCACCTGCTGCTAAGTGACAATTGAATTTTCCCAGTACATGAAGTGCTTAAAATTGTACAAGGTGAGAAAAAATATTCTAGTTCCTCAGTTCACAGAACTGACTTCAAGGGGTAGTGAGAAAATAATACAGCTCTTTGAATTAATCATCAAAAACTACATCCATGCCCTTCAGGTACTGTTAATGACACTTCTTCTGAGGGAGTGCCTTTGGGCCCAATGGCCATCTCAGAAACCTGAAGGAGTGGTTTCTGAGAGTTGCTCAGGGATGTGAAATTTGAATTGCTGCAGCTAAGGTTTGGCAAATCTTAAGCTGGAATTGAAGGATTACTCTATCATGTGAGAACAAAAAAAACACTTCTGTCAAATATTTGGGGTTATTTTGGAAGGGCATGGCCATGAGCAAGTCTGCTTTTTTTCAGAGAACTGTGGGGTCCCAGGGACAAGAGTGCCATAAATTCAATACACATTTTGTATCATCTTGAATTCTATCAAGCTACATGCCAAATAAACTTTGCAAATTGCTTTCAACAAAATCATCATGAAGAAGTTGATACATCCCAATATAGTGCAAATACTGCATGATTTGAAGTGTTTCCAGAGAGAACAGGCTCAGAACCAATTTGGGTGACAAGACAAGTCAAGTGTTCTTGCAAGGGTCAATGGACCCTTACACTTCTCCAACATCCTGCAGGCTCTAGCAATGTTGTAACAGCTGCGCTGCAGATAGCACAGCGTATTGGTTAGTGCAGTGGTTTCTTCCATCAATGCGCTGCGCTGAAGGGTAGCGGTCAGAGTACCACCGCTTGGGCTATTGGAGATCCCTGGATTGTATTTTAGCGCGCTAGAATTAGCGTTCAAGTAGCTCCAATCTGCTATAATAAGCGGTAGCGTAGCTGTTGACTGCTGACTTTAGCGGTAGCGTAGCATAAGTTATCCGCTATTCTACATACACAGGGGGAAAAAACCAAGGAAAAAAAAAGGATCTACCAAGATGAAATAAGAGAAAACAGAATTATGCAAAGTTTTTTGTATTTAGAATTTTACTACTAAAAATGAAATAAGAAAATAGAATCATAAATAGAACTTAGAAGTAGAGAAAGGGAAAGAAGCTACTTCTTCTTTTTTGAGTGAGTTGATTGCTTCATGGCATGATATTTGCTGAAATTGGGGTTGTTGCGGGTATTGTCAATCACTTGCTGGCAGTTGGCAAATATTCCATGAAGCCTGACCCCATTTCGGATCCACATATGACTGCTGATACAATGTTCAATCGTTTGTATCGCCATTGCTGATCTACCAGAGTCGCAAACTTGGGCCGCCGCTGAGAAAGTTTGTTCAACAGTTGCGGAGCTGGCTGCACATGCCAGGTAATCCCGCGCCAACAATGCCAAGATTGGGAAATCTTGGAAATGTGCCTACATGCCAATATGGACATTGATCAGAGACTTAGACAATGAATGAACTTGTGTTGGACTTACCTTCCACCAACCCAGCACACAGCCCTTCTTGTCCATTGGGAATAAGCCATCATTGTAGCGCTGGATTTCAGTGTTGATTCGTTTGGCTTCAGGATTGGCTGGGTAGAAATTGAATTCTTCCCCACCGGAATCAGATTTGCTAGTGCTCCTCAAAGGCAATTGATTTTGTTTTTGTGGGGGTGATTCTGGCTGAAGTGAATCAACCTCAGCTTCTCGAGGGTCAAATACTTTTTGGATTAACTTAGCGATTTGTGGTACATGAGTCTTGAATTGTGAGTTGAATAGCATCATCCTCCAAGAGGAATGAAGAAAAGTCGCAATGACGACTGTGTCACATTTGAGGGCTAGGTCAATGTACTTCTGAGTGACTCTCAACATAGGATCATACATCGGTTCCAATACCGTCAATTTTGCGGCCTCCTTCCTTTTTCTGAGGTTTTCAAGCACTTGCACGTATTCATACAAGACCATCGGTAGCTTCGGCCCATCTCCCTCCATTCGCTTTGTCATTTCCAAAAATTCCTACAAAAACAACCATTGACTTTCAAACTCTCAATCTACACCAATAGTCATTGAATTCAAACTGTGTACCTTTAAAACTCGATTTAAGTCATTGATATCTTCCCACTCCTTTGATGATAGCTCATAGGACTTAAATTGATGCCCATCTACTGACCTCCCAGTGTGCTTATCGGACTCGTTCTCAAGAAGCTGCTTAATAACCTTCCGAGCCCCGTATGCACGATTTTGGCATTTGTATGCGATATTCTACCTTATCCCATAGCCCGCAATTATTCCTGGACCAACGTAGTTAAGCTTTTTTGCCTACACCTCAGCCTGCTTTTGTGGCGATGATGCAATCCGTCGACATATGTAATCAATCTAGTAGCCATATAGGAGTATCAGTTGCAGTGTGCATTTAAAATGAATGCACTGAGGTTTGAGTAAATAATAAAGTCTGCTTACCTTCTTCAATGTGAAAGCAAATCCAGTTGCACCAGGGGAGCTTTGGGGGCACTTCCCAGGGAGTGCCATAGCTTAATTCTTTGTTACTTTTTGGCTGAAGTTCATTTGAAGTCATTACCATGTTTTTGTTGAACTATTTCATTATAAAACACAATATACTTGTTAAATAAAATGTAACTATTCACTGCCAACTATCATTCACGTTTGTTGAAGCCATGCTGAATTCTAGTCAAACTCAGTCATGATTTTGTTTATACATTTCCAATTAAAGTACCTTACATGAGGGTGACACAGTTCAGACACCATTCAGCTGGAAAAACCCTCTAGTCTGAACAGTGTGTGATATGTCACCGCAGTGCACTCGAGTGCAATCCGGTGACATATCACACACCTATCAAACACTGTTCAGACCAGAGGGCAATATTCACTGGGTTCATGAGACTGACACCATTCAGAAACCATTCTGCTGGAAATGCCCCTCTGGTCTGAAGGTCTTGTGACAGGTGTGTGATTTGTCACCATATTGTACATGATTAAAATAGGGCAACAAGTCACATGCTGTTCAGAACAGGGGCATGTACCCTGTGTACATGAGGGTGACACCGTTTGAGCCTCACTCAGCAGGACATTGCCCTCTGGTCCAAACTGTGTGTGACATGTCACCGCCTTGCGCTCGAGAGCAATGCGGTGGCATATCACACACTGTTGAGACCAGAGGGGAATGTCCACCAGCTGCATGAGGGTGTCACGGTTCAGACACCTTTCAGATGGGCATTCCCCTTTGGTGTGAAACATGTGTGATATGTCACCGCCTTGCGCTCGATTTTCACATCAGAGGGCCATGTCCAGCTGAGTGTACCCAGGGGACATGCCCCTCCTGTTCAGAACAGTCTATGATTCATCACCCTATTGTACTCGCGTACAACAGGGTGACATATCACACACTGTTGAGACCAGAGGGGAATGTCCACCAGTTGCATGAGGGTGTCACGGTTCAGACACCTTTCAGATGGACATGCCCCTTTAGTGTGAAACATGTGTGACATGTCACCGCAATGCGCTCGAGCGCAAGGCGGTGACATATCACACACCAATCACAAGAGAAGTATGTCCAACCATAAAATGAAGGTGGAACATTTCTGGCCCCATTCAGCTGGAAGTAACCCCCTGGTATGAAAAGTGTTTGAGCAATGCTTTCCACTTTGATGACAAAACTTTGTAGCCAATTTGTATTATGTGCCCAGTTTAGTTGCAATTGAGTTTCAGATGAGTACCAGCTGGGTTTCGGATGATTTCTACCTGATTTCAAAAACCATTCACACTTGGTTATGTTAATGAAATACTATACATTAGACACAGTCACATGAAAAGTTACAGATAAGGCACTCCCTGGGGAGTGCCCCCAAAGCTCCCCTGGTGTTGCATCACTTTCTTCCTCATCGTCAGTAATATTGTCCGGGTACCGCTACCAGCCAGGTTCTTGAGTTCCAGGTTGAGCATCATCGGAATCAATCTCCTCTGTTTCTGATATATCATCGGCCATCACAACTACATCTTCTTCTTCTAAATCTTCATCCATGACCTCAACAATTGTACTGAGGGTTGGGAAAGGTTGATCGCTTCACTTGGGTTGGACAACACTTTTCAATATCTTCAGGGCCTTCAAGCCTGCTCCCAAGATTAGAGCAATGACATGACATACACATCAATGGTGAGTCCGCTGAACATCCCAATGTGTTTAGTCAACCGCACGGAAAATTGAGGAAACACCTTTGGCCATGGTGAAATTGTTACTCCCGGAGTCTGTTGTCTGTGCAAGGACGTATATAATTACAATATCAAGTCAGATCAACCAGAAAACCACAGAAGAAAACAATCGAAATAATTATCTTTTGGTTAAGGCCATGCTTCACTAACACATTGGCAAATGGGACAGCGAGGTAATTGCCATTGTGATGCCAGGAAATGTATTTCATTGCTAGGTGTTGGCATACATATTTCCAATCAGGAGTGATGTAACAGCACGCCATACCAACAAAGTCTTTATGACTTCCCTTGGTTGTCCATACATTGGATACCAGTGAGATTTTTGACTTTGAGCTCTAGAATAGAATAGATCAAACGAATAATCAGGCTGTTAATTTATATTTGAACTGAATTTGAAAGAAAATAGGGTAAATTGAACTCACCTCAATCGAATGTAGGACCTGTCCTCTCTGTTCAAGGTATAGCTGATGCGCATGCAAGGCAGCCCATACCCAAGAGTATAGTTCGGCATTGTGGAGAGAATAATCGAATGAAACCCAAAGAAGGAAGTCTTCAACTCTTAACCATGGCAAAGATTGCTGAATAATCCAGATGACAAGCAATTCATTGAGGGTCTTATTATCAAATTGTTTCTTTGTTGCATACGCAATCAGGGTTCCCTCTCCAGCGGCTCGTGTTTTTTTTTTTCTTCAGCAGCAGTGGGAGGAAGGTGGGCTCCCTCTTTGATGGCTTTGCCGCGACCGGGGCAAGCAGATTGTAGTGAGCCCTTGATGTTTGCTCCATCCCGGTGTGACTTGAGGTTGTAATAAGATCCTCCAGAGGCTTTGAATTCATTTGGGCACCATTGACAGGCCCAGGCAGTGTCGTTGGGATTCTAGGAATGATGAGAAGTTTGATTGCTAGTAAGTAGGCAGATTTGGTAGCAAGAAGGTCATGGAAACAGATAAAAAAATATCTGACCTGCTTTGGACCACTACCTGGCAAATAAAAGAAGAGCCAAGCATGATCAAAACTGTCTTTATCTTTAGTTGGATCATTCCTTTTACGGGTATTGGTGTGCTTTTCATTTTCTAAATCCAAATCTTGAGCATGATTGATGATGACTTCAATCCCAGTATGGCTGGCAACTTGCTTGGTTCCTGCCAACAGGTTTGTTGGGCTTTTCAATCGGCTGTTTGGTGGGAAATTTGTATTGGAATCGGATTCTTCATCATCTTCAACAATATTTACAAAATTCTTCTTCTTTTTTTGAGCTTGGACCTGGGACCAATTGGTGGAAATAGCGGGACTGCTGGGGACTAGAGCACGGTGAGAATCGCCTTGGGTGGAGATGAACCCTGGCCGTAAGCTAGGAGTACGAAGACAAGTTGATTCTCGGCAAACAGATTGGGGATGATCGACCGGGTTGTTTGAGGAATTGGGAGGGGTAGATGGAACAGGTGGATTGATTTGTTGAGCCATGTTAATTCAGACAGGGTGGATGGGGGAGAGATGAGGTGGATACAACTCGTACGAGGTTGAGAGGTAGCCTTTCAAGTCGGAGGTAAGGCTGCCAGGAATTCTGCAAAGTATTGGCAGCGCTCGGCCAGCAGTGCACCCCGCAGCTGTTAGTGGTTGGCGCAGCTGGCAGTGGGTAGGTAGCCTACTTGTAGCTTAAAAACGCTACAGCTGCGCTGTTTTTCAGCTTTAGTGGTTAATTTCCCACTGCACTAAAGCTGGTACCCTGCAGAAAAAAGCTTAACTCCACTAAGATTAGCTGTAGTGGTAGCTCTTTTGACGTCAGCTAAAGCTACTTTGCCTGGAGGCATAGCGGTGTGACCACTGTGATACGATAAAAGGGGGCTTTTTTTAGCGTAGTGTAGCTGTTACAACATTGGCTCTAGGAATGACTGCCTTACTCCATCAGTCTGAGAATCCCAACAAAAATTCTTTGATTGCACCTGTGGTGTGTTTTTCAGTATGCTTTTTGGAACTCTTTTTTCTGGCTACTGGACTCATGTTTCCCACTTCTGAGAGTTGGACACCCTCAGATTTTAGACATCTATGAAGTGAACACGAGTCCGCAAGTGATCGTTGTTGGTCGTTGTCAATAGATAAGCGCCTGAAGGATGTCATGGGCGCGACGCCAGCCTCTGACGATGACCAGTTCCATGAGATTTGGATAGAATCCCTTTTCTCCTTCTTGACCGGTCATTCCGGGCCGCTCAATGACACAGGGCATGCGGGATCCCACGCGCATGTAACCGTTGTGTAGAGATCGGGAGCCCGCTAAGATTATTGGAGATTTTCAAGGCTTGTAGTAAAAAGAGGACTGCCCTTCAGAGTGGGAGTGATTGAGAGGAGAGGGGGCCTTTGATCAGCTCCAACTAAGGAGGTATGGGAGGGGGAAGGAAGGTCAAGACTTCAAGCTGAGGCCGGAGGAGGCCATCATGACCACTTAACATAGACCACGATTTGGCACACCCATCTGCAGATTTTGATGTGCCCGGGGATAGGTCGGTTAAGCTTCGATCTTGTAAGAAAAAAAACAAAGATGTACACTCTCTTCAACGATCCTGTCAATGACCGCAATCGCCGGCTGGTCTGCTCACTAGTATTTTTTTTGTAGGGCCAAATAGTATAAGGATAGACAAACAGGCTTCTCAGGGTCAACTTTCTCTCTTCGTATGTATTACTGTTACTCCTACAACTCCTCCTCCTCTTCGGCTTCCCCAACAAAATACGATACCCTAATATAACATATTGGATATGAAGACGGAACTTCTTTTTTCCGCGTTAGACTCGCTAGCCAAGGCGCTTCCAGGGCAGTGTTTTTTTGTCCCCTTTCCCCCCGAAAAAAAAAATGGCTATACATGAAGAAGGCTCCAGGCTGCAACCGAGGTTTAATCGGTGCAGAGAAGAGAGGAGGTCGCGTGTTGTTAAATGCATCTGCCGTGTGGCTCGCTGGAGCCTGTTGCTGTCGGCTGACTGGCCGCCGCTGCTGCCGTCGCCGTCAAGTGGATCTCTCTGATCCTCATCATCAGATGTCTGGTGGTTCATCGGATGATCTCATCTGACTGGGATCTTTTCCCTCTCTCCCTCCCCCCTCCTCTGACGCGTCCAACCAAAAAAAAGAAGAAAAAAAAAGCTTGCTTGCTGTTGTCGCTGGTGTTGTATGTTGGTAGTCTGTCCATACTTTTCGCTGTTCTGAGATTGTATGTATGCATAGAGCGATCTTTGTTTTGCTTGCTCCTTTTTTTGTTGCAACATTGTAAATATCGATTTCGTTTGCTAGACCGAGCAAGAACGTATGGTTAACCGGATCCAAGACTCTCGAGCGCAAGGGTTTTCTGATGGAACTACTACATTGTAGTAAATCGTCAAGGAGGAGAAAACATTACAGCCGAATGAATATTTATTCAACGGCCAAGACCGACAGAGAGGGAGAGATATGACCGTTTTCAGGTCGAGATATACATAAATAGGATTACAATAGGATGTGGAGTGTGAGTGAAGGTTATCGAGATCGAAGCGCACAATAAGATAGAAATTCTTGTTTCTGTCTCTGGTTTTTTTTTCCCTTCAAGTTTTTTTGTTTTTTTGGGTTGGGTTGGAGAATCTCTTCTTCTCCTCGTGGTCTATTGCTATTTTCTGACAAGCCCCCCACTGGAGAGGCGCTGATTAGGCAGAGGCAGGCTGAGGCCGATGACAAGCACAAACCGAGCCAAACAAATTATCCCTGAAAAACTTCGAGCATCCATTCAAGTCAGCTTCAGCCCTCCAGAGAATCCTCCATTTTTATAAGCGAGACGCAGACACACACACACATGTCAGGCCGCCGTTTGGTTCCCAACTCCTCTCTTTGTATCTCTCTTCTTCTGTGTGTACCGCTGTTGTTGTTGTACTAGATGTGTGTCAACCGAATCTCATCAAAACCTGCCCGAAGATGTTGATCTTTCTTTAACAGCAACCCGGGCCAGCATTCCTGAACGCGTCTTGAGGAACTCTTGATCCTGACTTGAAGAAGAAGAAGAAGAAGAAGAAGCGATACTTTGAACGCGTCGCTACAACTCCTTCCTCCAGTTGACCGATCGATTATAGTTGGGTGTACTCTTCACGACCTCTCTACGAGCCGAACGACGATTGTTCACGGCCAGGACAAGCTTCCTAGTAAATACCTTTTGTTTTCCCCCCCTCTCGACTTCCTTTACATGGTAGCGTGGACTAAAACTGGACTTGGCTCTTCATCAAGCGTTAACGACCATAACGAGAACTTCTTCCAACACCTCTCCATCCATTCCGATCTTAATGCTCTTTTCCTTGATGACCTTGTTTAACTCTTTAGCCATCCTCGATTAACCTCAAACCAACTCTCCCAAATAGCAGGATACCGAGCTCTACTCAAACTATTCTGATCTTGAGACGAAAGGAAATTATCAAGCTGTTTGTTGGTCACCAAACAGATCGTCGTTCCTCTCCCCGGAAAGAGTCTTGATCTACAATCCCTTATACATATTTTAGTTGTCTGCTCAGCCTACGACCGGCCAACCAATTATTATTGTAGCCTGTCCAAGAAATCGGTAAGCAGTAATAGCTGTTATACATATCTCAACAATCCATATTTATATTTTAGATTGGATCCCTCTCTTCCTCCCCTAATACCTTATAAGCTTGGCCTACCTAAGGATGTCTGTTTGTGTTGTAGTCGTCTAACTATTAAGTCGCAACAATCTTCAGAGTCTTATATACCCTTGACATCTCGTCATCCGTTCTTTCGGTCACCAAGTCTCCACCAACACCAGCTCTCCTGTGTTCCTTGCTCTGACTGACAAGTTCTGCCCTCTTGCAAGCCGGCACTGTTTCCGTTCTCCTCCTCCTCCTCTCCCTCCCTCCCTCGATTCTACTATACACCACTCTGACACTTTCCTGAGGAGGGTCCAAAACCCGAAACTTGGCAATCCACTTGTGGTTAGTTTTCCCTTCACTTGATGATGATGATGATGATGATGATGATGATGATAATCCACACACATTTCCCAACAAACAATACCACCACCCCACCCCACATATCTCTACACAACAGTGTATGTGTACAATATATCCTCCCAAGGTCCCCTCTGGCACATAGTTGAATGTGTACCATCCTGGGCTGTACATCGTCCCGTTGATTTGTACCCAATCCTGCACTTCCCCTCCCTCGCCCAACTTCTGCTCCATTCCGGCGTTATCCCGGCCAAACACGTTGATTATCGCCCGGCCTCTGTCTCATTGCCCTTCTCGGCGCGCCGGTGTTATGTAGCCCATTATTGCTTAGCGTGCTGAATACATACCGTTAATTCGTAGTGTTTTACCATTCTCATTGTTGTTGTTGTCCATCTCCTCCATCTCTCTCACTCTCTCTCCTATCAACTCTTCACTGGCTGGTTCTCCTTCTTCTGCCGACCACAAACAATAGTTTCGATTGGATTGAGTTTGCTAATGCTTGCTGCTGTTCTTCCAACCCCTCCAGTCTTCACAGCCACCCAGCCAAACCCTGCGATCTCCCCCGCTCAGCACTCGCCCGTCGAAATCCAATGCTATTATTGAAACACTCTCCTCCAAGCTAACGACCTCCTCCTTCGCGACTCTACTCCCGCGTTGACGTTGACGTGTTAATCTCCAAACCACCACCCACCACCCACCACCAATAGAAAAAAATAAAAAAACTAAATTGTTGTTGTAGACCCTGACACCCACTCGGCAGAGTCACGCACGACGGTTATCAACTCACCGAGAATCGCGTCTCTCTCTCTCTCTCTCTCTCTTCCTAGTCACTGCGTCTTCTCGTTTGCCTTTGTCATCATCATCCGCACTAGCACTACGCTCTACCACCAACACCCCACCACCCACCAACTCTGAGCTCTGCAAAAGCTGGATTCAATTCAGTCTCCCCTCTCCGCCAGCCTTGGCTTGGAACCTCCCCCTACCCTGCTATCCTCGCGTCTGTCTCCCTTGCTTCCAGCCAATGCCCTGACTCAGCAGTCCTCCTCCCACCACCATCCCTCTGCTACAATCCCTCATCTCACCACTCCCCAGCCTCGAGCACCACCGGCTCCAGTCAACAGACCCAAATCCGCCAGTCTTGGCCAACCCAATCTGTCCCCGCCCTCCCCTGGTGATCTCTCACCCTCATCAACCGACTCCTCCGCTGATAACACCCCTCTCAGTCCACCCCTTCGGCTGCTAAGCGTCGCCGATCTCCACCTCAACTCACCCGCGATCTCCAGCCAAAGCTTCCCCCAGCTAACCGGACCTCATCTCGACCATATTCTACCTCTCAATAATAACAACAACAGCAGCAGCAACAATAACAACAACAACAACATAAACAACAACAACAATAGCAGCAGCAACCTTGTTCATTCGTCCCCACAAACAAACCATCGGGCCATCACAAATCATCACCGTCACCCTTCCCTTTCTCGATCCAACCTGCCCTCCCCCTCGCTCACCTCTGGCTACGGCTTCGGTGAACTTGCCGGGGCGCTCGGTGTCCGCCCGGAGATTCGCAAAGTGAGTGACATGACCATCCACTCGGCCGACCATCCACCTTCGCCTGTCGATCCAATCAATCTCGATCAAACCCGCCATCACCATCCTCCGCCGCCTCCTCAATCAGAACCCCTTCGGTCAGATGCCCTTCTCGGCCATGACCATGCTGAGATCGTCCACCAGTCTCATCATCAATCGACTGCCGTCGGCGTCGACTCTCGGCTGGAACGAGCGCCCAACACTCTCTCCGATTTTCAACCTCCCTCATCATCTTCATCATCCAACCTGACGACTACTGCTGAGTCAACCACCGAACAATCACAGCAAGATACGATCAACGAAACCCATACGAACCTTTATGCCAGCTCACCAATCATCACCCCCTCCATTCCCACCACCACCGCACCAGCTCGATCAAACCAGACTCCCTTGCACTCCGATACCACCAATCTCCATCATTCATCTTCTACTACTTATCCTCGCCTACCTCTGCAGTATTCAACCTCCTCCCAATCTCATGCTTCGTTTCAATCCCAACAAGGACAGATCAACACTTCTCTCGGGCCAAACCAATCAGCCTATCAGTCTGATTGTATTTCTTCGTTTGAACATACCCCTCATTCAACCGTTGGACTTAATAATCCAACCTCTGGCTATCACCCTTCCCCTTTCATAGCTCATCATCGCCGAAGTCACAGCAAACCCGATGGACGCAGTAGCATGTTTGTAAACCCATTCCTAGGTGCTCCCTCCTCCCATACCAATCCAACACCCCCCTCCCCCGGCGCATCATCCTCGCATTCGCATAGCTTTTATCATTCCCACGCCCAACCCCGTTGTTCTTTAACAGCCGCTCCAACACCCACTAGACACCGGCTCAGTATTTCTTCACAGCCTGGCGGTGCATCGAGTTCTCCTTCATTATTATCTGGTGCCAACCGACATCGATCCTCATCAACGGCCACTGGTACGGCGCGTGGATGCGATCCTGTTCATCGGTCCGCCATGGGACTGGCTAGCCCTGATGTGGGTAGCAGCCCCAGTTTTGGCACAGCTGCCACCGCCATGGGCCTTCTCAGTCACATCACTTCCCCCAATAATTTCACCAAGGACTCGCAATCTTCAAGTCACTCATTCGAAGCCCTGGGTAGAAAGCCCGACAGTAGAGGTAGCGCCAATCAGCTCGAACATTCCAATCAAATGGAGCATACCAGTCATATGGAGCATCTCATCAAGCAAACCGGTCAGATAGAGCAGACTGCTGGTCACATGGAGCATACCACCAGTCATATGGAGCAGCCTGGTCAGCTCGAACCAACGAGTCAGACAGACAGCTCTGATCAAAAACCGTTGCACTCTCTTCACCCACACTCCCCACTCACGCCTGGATTTGCTGGAAGTGCCTCCTTTAGCTTCGGTAACTCGGCCAGTAATCGTGTCAAATGCGAGATACCACCCAACTCTGATATGGCCGACCTCTCAACTGGCCCGGTAGGCTCGTCAAACTCTGCTATGAATCCTATCCCGATCAACATGAGGCCCGACTTGGCCAATCTGAAAGATGGCCCCGATGGTCCCAATGGCAAGGTCAGTTTCTTTTCATCCATCTCATTTACGCATTGGAAAAATTACGAATCACTCGCCAAAACAAGACAAATCACCTGTGTTGTGTGAAAATCCCTCACGAGATAAAGTTCCTTTGGAACTCGGTACTGACCCCACGCACGCGTGACCCATTTACTTTTGATCGATTTAGCCCGGATATCCATATGTTGTTCTGATTCGGTATGCCATCTTGGGCAGTCCCAACGGGAAACTAACCTTACAAGAGCTGTATGAAACGATCATGGACCGATTCCCCTATTATCGTACCGCTGGAAAGGGTTGGATGAACTCGATCCGACACAACCTGAGTCTCAATCGCTGCTTCGTCAAGCAGCCTCGACACATTCTGTTTGTCACTTTGGTTCCATTTGCGGTTTGTGACTGACTGACTTATTTTGTTCATTTTTTTTTTCTGGTCATCATTCAGGGACCCTGGCAAAGGTTCTTATTGGACTGTTGACCTGGAGGCTGAACTATCCACCTCAAGAGCTCGTGATCGCAAACGTGCCAGTGGAAGTTCAAGATCGAGTATTGGTAGCATCAGATCTTTGAAGGGCAGTCGACGTGACAGTCTGAGTGGTGATCCACGTTCACCAACACTTGACGAGATTATCGGATCCTCTCCAAGTAGGATGCTTTACATGTCTGATGAAGAGACAGACGAGGTTCATGTTCAACCCCTTGGGAGCTTTGCGCCGGAGCACCCAACCACTTTTGCAGAGGATGGCGATGGAGATACGATGATGCAAGGCGGCGAAGGAAGCTTTCAACAGCACCCTTCAACGCCAATCAAATCTCCCAAGTCAGGACGAATCAGTGCCAAGCGAGCACCTAAACTTACGAAAATGAAGCAACAGGGGTTGAAAGTGCAGGTTTCTGGCAACTCGGATCTGACCAGCAATCACCTACCTCCGAGTTCTTGCTCACCCTCAACGCCAGTGACCCCTCATCAACTGTATCATCAGGTGAGATGGGCGACTCATGCGATTTCGATAACAATGCCTTAATTAACATTTCTGATTTTCTTTTATGCTTGGTGCTTCCCTTCTAGGCGGATCCATCTTCTAATATTTTACAGAGTCCATTCCATCCTCAAGCTGGATATGTATCCAGCCCCCCTGACACGATCGGACGCACGATCCCTAGGACCGGGTCTCCTTACCGAGGAAGTACTCTTATGCGTTCTCCGCTCACTTCGATTATGAGCTACTCCTCCAGTTCCCACTGTCCAACCACCGCAACCACGTCAGATAGCAATCAGATCGACCCCATATCACCGAGCTCTTCTGCCTACGGTCTCAATACTGGACTCAGCAGCAACTACCATCCTTCATCAACTGCGATGGTCAATTGTCGAGAGGGTGGCCCCCCATCCCAGAATCCGTTCTCATTCGGAGCTCACCCACATTCAGCCTATCAACCTGGATTCAATCCCTTCAGTCCTCCTCTGATGCACCATCCACAATCCAGCCCCTCTCCCGCGATGGGCGATCGTCATCCGGCAAGTGCAGGACCCTGGCCGAGCTCGTTCCAGGCTTCGGCCTATCCGACCTCTGCCCCGATCAGGGGCGTAGGGACCAGCCACCATCAGCCCAGCCAAAGCCACAGTGGGGTCTATGGCTTCCAGCCGTCATCGATGGCGGGCATCGTCCCCCGACCCAGGTTCTCTGTCTCCGCCGGAGGCAACTCTAGACCCGTCTCCTCCGAGTCTTCGTCCACCAATAACCCGCCTCATAGTACGACTGGTCGTCAGACTCCAGCTTCTAACGACTCTGACGCTTCTCGTCGGTCTAGCATTGGTGGAGGTCCTGGCGGATCGACTAATTTCGTTAGGATCGATGGCTTCGGTAATGGGAACCCTGCCGTTGACTCCTTGGGAAGAACTCACTCCTCTCAACCTTTATAAATTTTCATCAACTCTCATAACAATACCAACAACTTGAAAACAATTGTATATTTAGATCCTACGACAAACATCGACGACCACGATGATGATGATTTGATGATTATCTTGAAGTGTGTGTATGTGTGTGTGTGTGTAACTGCTTGATCTTATCATTTCATCTCTTTTTTTGGATAGAACACTTTTTCTTTCCCCCTTTTCCCCTCTTTCCTTTCCTTTGACCTTTTCCATTTTTTTTTTTTTTGGGAACATGACAGTGGGATGGCTCTTCTTCTAAAAAAAAATGTAGCATTTTCAGGAAAAAGAATTAGTCAATCTTCTTTTCTTTTTTCTTTTTCTTTCTTTTTAGGAAGAAGTCCATCTCTCTCTCTCTCTTTCTCTCTACATAAATCTAAAAATATATCTATATATATATATATACATAAAATCTTGTGCTTGATGATGATGATCATTGTCGGTCCATAGAGTGACCCGCCTTCTCCCCTCTCCTTCTTGAATACAATTTTCTTGTCCCTTCTTCTTTTATCTACATGGTTTCACTCTCTTTACGAAAATCTTGTGTTCACCTTGGTTATATAAATCATTGAAATCTTGATTGATTGATTGATTGGACATCCTGTTGGATACTGAAGTGATGACATGTGAGCTGATTTTCGTATGTATTGGATCGGAGCAAGCCCCATATCAGTTTGTGTGACTACAACGACTTGAAAGAAAAAGAGAAGACCTTTGAGAGCTCCTTGAATCGGCCGTCTACTTCTTGTGTCTTTATAGATTGCAGGAGCTCTCTTTTCCACTCTAAATTTCCTTCGGACACGTGTCGAACTAACTGTCCCTTTCCATGGTCTCTCTCATCTGTCTCCTTTTTTGTTCTTACATCCGGACTCTATCTATGTACTCTTCGCATGCCCGTTTTCTTTGGGAGAAATCAGAGCTCCTTTTTTTTGTTTTTGTTCTGGTGGTCTCCACATCTTCTTCACCTTCTTGTTTGTCTTAACTTATACAACACGGGCAACAAGGGGATCGTCCCTTTCGGGATCACTTTTACCGAGCTTGTAGTGTTCCTTCTTAGACCCTGTATGTACATCTTCCTCAAGGTTTGGGTGTTTTTTTTCTGGCTGGCTGGCTGGGGAAGTGTAGCTTCTCTGTTCACAATCAAGAATTCCTCATCGTCATCGGAGCCTCAAAAAGTTTGTACGGTTTCTCTCTCTCTTTCCAGTGTTGTGTGATGTCATAGTAAAGAAACAAACCCCCACAAACCACACATACACACACACAGCCATGCAGTTTGGCAACTAAAAGGCATCTACGGACAGATCCAGTCCATAGGATGACAACCCCCAAGCAGGAATATAGGGAGGCCGGCGAGGCCCCTTCTGTGTGTGGGGGAAGAACCTGCACGCAAACGACAACAAACCGATCGACCCGGGAGGAAGCGGAGCTCTTCACACTATGTACATCGTACACACGGCTTGCTTGCCCGGTCAGTCCCGCCCATCCGGCTCTTTCGGTCTCCCGATCTCAAGTCTGGATCCAATCTTCTCTTGTAAAGGCGTGTTTGATCGTTTTTCACCAGTTTTTTTAAATACGTAATTCACGGCAATGAAACCAGCAAAGACATTCGTAGTGTAGGGGTTATCATCTGAGCTTCCCATTGTGGATCTGCTTAGGACCCGGGTTCGAGTCCCGGCGGATGTACGATGAATGCTTCACTTTTGCCAGTCCTTGAGGCCTTGCCAAGGAGGAGAAGGAAGGACAAGGCTTGTGACTGTGTGCCCTGCTTTTGCAAAGACATAAAGTGTAACAAGTTTGGTGATATTTTTGATGTGCGAAGGAATATGTATGTATTTGTGTGTTTGATCTCCAGAACAAGAGCTTTGTGGATGCTGGGCTGATGAAGTAACCCACATTGCTCTTATGGGTGAGGGTGAAAGAGAAGTTGAACAAGGATAGTATATAGAGGCAGAAAAAACTGGACATGTGATGATGCTCTTCACACATTATATAAATCCAATTCCTGGTGGTTCTTGGATTTGACTTGTGACAGACAGCCTTGTTGATGGCTGTTCCGCAGGGGAAGTCATCTCTGTCCACGGTCGCGGGACGGATCAGTCTGGTTGGAGAGGCTTGGTCAGCGAGTAGGGCAAGTCCGTGCGCCTGGCTCACTCCCAGCGCGTCACCTCTATTTATCCTCGCCCTCCTCCTGACGTTTGTCCCCTCCATCCGCCAGTTTCCCTCTCCCTCACCCAGACTGCTCCGCTCCTCCTCGAACCTCCGCGAGCCTCTATTTTTTCGCTTTTTTCATCTTCCTTTCCTCAAACCCACCATGGTCGACAAATGATCCAAACAAGCGAGGCGCAATGAGACAGAAGACATAACCATTCCTTCAACTTCACACAAGATAGTCGAACTCCCTGCTCCAAGCGGCAACGCCCCAAGCATTTCCACCCAAGCAGCTCCAAGCGGAAACGCCCCAAGCGCTCCTACTACGTCAACCCAAAGCGGCACCGCCCCCGTCATACCCCTGACTAAAGCAGTCGCTAAGAGCACCCAAGATGGAGAGCATAACTCCACCGCTCAAAGCGGTGTTGATGAACAGCCCGAGTCCCCAGATGCGAGAGACGACGTTTTCCTTGACCTTTTGACCCAAGCGCCAGGTAAGTTGCTACCATAATTAAAAGGCGATTTACTGTAAAGACATTGTCATCGTAAAGATACATTGTGATTGATTACGCTTGCTATGCTTGTTTTAAAGAGCTATCGAAGCAATCCCACGAAAATGTTATTAATAACACCAACGCAGTTCCGGACATCACTGTGAATGAATCCGAGGAACGAGCCCACATCTGGGCCAAGGCTAGGGAGTTTCAAGCAGCCGGGGACGATGTTTTATCGAGAGTCCTCCTAAAGGCTTACGGGGAGTTTACGACTCCGGCTAAACCTCCAACCATGAGGTCCGTATCGGCCCACCCGGTACTGTTGACGACTCAACCAACGAGAGTGGTGTCGACGGAGACGGAGATCGAGGACGACCTGGTATACGCGATTGGGACGGTTACTAACCATCAAGACATAGGCTTCACCCCCTTTTTCGACGAGAACATCAAAAAGCTCAAAGCACCGCTCCCCCTCACCATTTTCGACAGGGAGTGGCAAAAGGAAGCCCTGGCGGCACACTTGACGACCCGACTGTCCAAATCCTCCAAAGACAAGGCATACAGAGGCTTACCTTTCTACAACGAGTGGACGCAAACACACTCCAAGTGGACCAATAATCATCGTATCTTCCACTTAACCCTACGCGACGTGTATCACAAGACGTGTTTCGCTGAGAAGCTCCTCATCCATAAGAGAAATTGTGATGAAATATTGGACGAGTTCGGTTTCATGACGGCTTTCCGCTACGACATGCAAGTCCAAGCCAATGCATTCGCTCATCGCGTGCAGTCAAAAGACGGGGCAGCGGTTCCAGACATTTCCGTAAAGCAAAACCTAGTAGCCGAACGTTGCTACAACGAGGTACGCTCAGCAGGTGAAACCAAATGGACGGATAATTACTATGCTCCAGGCGGATCACACGACGGAATCGACCCCGACACCGGCAGAGAACGCCCTCCTTTAAGATTGGTCTCTCACAACGGATACGGAGGAAGAGACAGAGGGCAGCAAGGACGCGCGGAGGATCGCCATTCAAGACCTTTCGACAACAACCGACATCTCCATGCTCCACACCATGACCCCTATTTCAGAAACAATCACCAAGGGTCCCTCGACACCCACGGTCATCAAAGCGGTCAAGGATACAGCCGAAGCAAACACAGATACTCTTCAGGCTTGCCGTCGGGGCCGTCGGAATCCAGGAAAAGATTGAGAGGCTATCAGGGTTCGAATTTTAACGAGGGTTACGTCAACAAGAGAAACGCGGCAGGCAAACAGGTCAAACCTAAAGCTGGCGGCAGTCAAAGCCAAGGGAAATTGTAGGCCAAGACTCACGCGATTTCATATTGTTTTCTTCCTGTTTCGGTTTTGAGGACAAATCACTTTCAGCTTGCAGCTCACAGTCGCACAAAACGTGACTCTCATGTGTTCCAAATCTTCATTCTATACGGACCTTCATCTCTATTTCATGTAAAAAAAAAAAAAAAAAGACACTTTGTTGATTCTTTTCCATTTTTGTTACGTCATCATTGTTTGTGGTTGTTTAACAGATGCCCGGACATTACTGAAATACATCACAAACCCACATTAATAGAAATTGATGAGGGGTGGCCTGTATCAGTGAAGAGTGAAATGAATATCCCGCCTGGGAGGCCGGTCTCGCAAACGCAGGGTTATTGCCTGAGCTAGAGAATGTCATAGAGGGTTTCAGATTTGGTTTTGATCAGGGAATACCAGCACACAAGTTAAGGAACCTGAGATGGTACACTCCGGAAAACCATAGTTCAGCCGTCATGGCTAAAGAAAAAATCCAACAATCCATTTCCAAAGAGGTAAAAGCGAAACGAATGTTCGGCCCTTTTACACACGAACAAGTAGCCAGACGTTTTCCATTTTTCCGGACCAGCCCTCTAGGATCCGTGGTTAACGCAGACAGAAAGATGAGACCTATTAATGACTTGTCATCTCCAAAAAGAGACGACTCCATCCCGTCAGTCAATTCGTTTGTTGACAAGGCCGACTTCAAGACAACTTGGGATGATTTCAACATCGTCGCAGATTTCTTCCGGAAAACCCAGGGACCGTTTCAGCTAGGACTTTTCGACTGGGAAAAAGCTTATAGACAGATTCCGACTAGGATGGATCAGTGGCCCTTTCTGATGGTCCAAGATTTAGAAAATAATTTATTCCTAGACACCCGCATCACATTCGGCGGTGTAGCCGGATGTGGTTCTTTTGGAGTTCCCGCTGACGCGTGGAAAAGGATAATGTCTCACGAGTTAGACGTCGTACACTTTTTCCGGTGGGTGGACGACAACCTTTTCATAAAAACGCGGTCCTCTAGCGCCTCGATTACCGATTTAGTACGCAGGTTGCAAGAACTAGGCGTACTGACAAACATGGATAAATGCTCAGAATTCGCAGATGAACAGAAATTTATCGGTTTCATCTGGAATGGAGTAGATTCAACCGTTCGATTGACAACAAAGAAGTTAGGTGAGAGGCGAGACCAAATCGGCGAATTCTTGATTCCAAAGAAGGAATTCAAATTCAACAAAGCTGAAGTTTTAGCCGGAAGACTCAACCACGTCTCATATCTGTTACCTCAGCTTAGAGCCTACATCAGAGGTGTATATCGCTGGATTAACGAGTGGAAGAAAAAGATGGCAACGCGATCTCTGCCAGAAGACGTGAAGAACTATTTGGAATTCTGGCTACACACGCTTTTGATTTTCAAAAATACAAGGCTGATTCGGTCGATGGAACCGAGTGAAATCCTGTGGGTCGGCGACGCGTCCACAAGCTTCGGCATTGGAATCCTCATTGGACACAGATGGTGCCAATTCAGGTTGAAAGAAAACTGGAGGGTAGGTGTACATGCAAAGGGCATAGCCTGGCTGGAAACTGTAGCCATTAGGTTAGGATTGTTGATGACAATCAAATTAGGTATCGCATCGAAAGGGTCCAATTACATCGTATGGACAGACAATACAGTGACAGAAGCGGTGCTTAATACGAAGAAATCGAAAGACACTTCGGTAAACGAAGAGTGGAAGGTCATACATGCCCTCCTCATTAAACACGAACTGGACCTCACCCCGAGACGGGTAGTCTCAAAGGATAACATGGCAGACACCTTATCCAGGGGCATTCAGACCCCTCATGTTAATGAGACCCGGGTACGGCTAAACTTGCCCCCTGATCTAGTATCTACAATGTTCCACGCATGACCCTTGCTTCTGAATCGGGTTTTTCTTTTCCAAAAAAAAAAAAAAAGAAAAAAAAAAATTGAAAATTTTCGTTTCAAACTCTTTTCGTGTTGTTTATAATGAAATGTATGCGTGTGTTTTGCCCCAAATGTCAACCGTTTTAAACAAATTGTGTCTTTCTCAATTATGCCTCGTCCATCAGAAAACTTATCATTGACTGTAGGTCCAGATTTCAAGAAAATAGCTCATTTCCTGCGTAACGGAACAATAACGGAAAGTCCATCGCCGGCGTCCCTACACATTGTATCAGCGTGGTGTTGGAGCACGCTCCTGTCCTATAACAGCGCAGTTAAGAAGTTCATGCTGTATTACTCGGCCCACTCGACCAAAGAATTTCACCTTCCAATCTCTACGGCTGAATTGGAAGGTTTCTGCATGTGGGCAGGTCGCAACCCGTACACCACGAATGCCGGTAAAATATCATCGACCTCACTAAAGAAGTATCTAATTGGTCTGAAGGCATGGCATAATTTCCACAGTGTAGCATTCCCCACGGAGAACGCAACAAGGATCGATTTATTACTACGCGCGTCTTCACGACTAGCTGCAGACGTCCCAAGGAACCCATGATGCAACTATTCACGGCCCTGTATCAAACATCTGATTTCGATAACGCCCTCATCGACCTGTGCATAGTAGCCTTCTGGGGACTGGCGCGCCTAGCGGAACTGACCTACGACCGTAAGGACGGGCCGGTCCGATGCGACATGTCGGTACTGACGTCCGACGTCACGTTCACAGAGACATCGAACGGGATGGGGGTAACGGCGGCGATCACCCTGAGGGCCGCCAAGACAGCCGGCCCGGGCGGAACCCAGCTAATCCTTCTGACAGAGCAGCCACACATACTGTGCCCAGTCCGGGCCATCAGGCGCCGGCTAGCTGAAGCAAACGGCGAACGGACATCGCTTTTTGGTTTTGGACGCCCTGCCAGTCGCCACCACATCACGCGCAGGGCAGCGGTCACCAGAATCCAAGCGATTTTTGCAACAGGGGGAGGTAACCAGCTTTTGGGACACTCGTTCAGAGTAGGAGGTGCCTCCTTGAGGCACGCCCTGGGAATGAAGCCAGATCAAATTTGTTCTCTGGGTCGCTGGACCTCCCATTGTTATCGCTTGTACCTTCGACCTTACAGCCGCGAAGATATGTTACATACTACTAGTTTGCTACGAGCTCTTGTATCTAACTGGAGCAAGATGAGTTGACAAGATACCTGTGTTTTCAATATGATTTACATACCTCGAATTAAGGGCTCGAGTTGGGGGTTTTCACTCACGGCTCAGGCTCTCCCCCTTCCTGAGTTGATGGGCTTTGTGCCTGAACCCCCCCCCCCTTTTGAACTCTCCCCCTCCGCTCCACATCCTCTTGTCGGCTCACTACCTGGTCAGGTTAAGGGGAGAAGAAAGCTCTCCCCCGAACCCTCCTTCCCACACCTGCCGGCGACGCCGCGCGGCAATACCTTTGGGTGACGTCGCGTGGCGCCGCCGCTGGTACCAGTGGCGAGCCCGCGTGAGTGGATTGTTGATGGCTGTTCCGCAGGGGAAGTCATCTCTGTCCACGGTCGCGGGACGGACCAGTCTGGTTGGAGAGGCTTGGTCAGCGAGTAGGGAAAGTCCGTGCGCCTGGCTCACTCCCAGCGCGTCACCTCTATTTATCCTTGCCCTCCTCCTGACGTTTGTCCCCTCCATCCGCCAGTTTCCCTCTCCCTCACCCAGACTGCTCCGCTCCTCCTCGAACCTCCGCAAGCCTCTATTTTTTCGCTTCCACCTGCCCACCCCTTTTTGCGCGGAGGACTGTTCTACTCGGGGGGCTTTGTGCCTGAACCCCCCCTTTTGAACTCTCCCCCTCCGCTCCACATCCTCTTGTCGGCTTACTACCTGGTCAGGTTAAGGGGAGAAGAAAGCTCTCCCCCGAACCCTCCTTCCCACACCTGCCGGCGACGCCGCGCGGCGATACCTTTGGGTGACGTCGCGTGGCGCCGCCGCTGGTACCAGTGGCGAGCCCGCGTGAGTGGATTGACCGAGAAACAAAAGGAAGTCTATGAAATGAGTTCTGCCACTGGGTTGATTGGGGAGACCCAAAGAGCTGATTGTCTAGACAAGCTCCAAATCCACATTCCCACATCCAACAAGAATGTACTTCCTTTGGTTGCAGAGGGGTAGGAGGAAGAGGGGAGGAGACTCATCTGGTTCTGAGTTGTATCTGACTGAGAGTTTGGAGGAGTTTCTTTGCCCCGTTTCTCTTGGACTGATGAGGCTTGCACCATTCCCAAGGTTCTGTTCACATCCTTTCCCCTTTCCTAATGGACCCAGTAGTGGGAAGGAAGGAGGGGATGCAGTGAGAGGTGGGAGGATCAATCCCTCCATCTCCTTTTTTGGACCTATGTACTGGCCACCATCTATCTCTTCCCAGGGAAAACTTTATCTTCATCACCCCTAACCTTGGTCTTTTAGGGTTCTTTTCTACCTCCCACTCAACTCAAATTCCTGCATGTCCTTATAAGTGATTGATAATTTTCAGCTTATTGATAAATATTTTCTGTCTAGTAGTGCACATGTCCTGAGGGAAATATAGGTTAGGGGTTCATTTTGGCCCGGGATAATAATAATATGTAAGCTTTGAACATACAATTCCTTGATCTAGTATACCAGGAAAAAGCTCTAACTACTTGATCCCAATTCCATGGCCATAGAATGTAACATGTGATGGCCTTGATATTCTCCAGGAGAAAACAAAATCAGTATGCTGTTGATGCAATATCACCAAGCTCAATTCATCATTGATAAAGCTGATTCTTGTTTATATATCTCACTCACCTTTGACACACTACTCTTCTTGTACCTTCCTTTAAGCCAAGGACATCATCATCTAAACTCATCTAACTCAAACTACTCTTTGATAATTTATCACTTGTCAATTGTTGTGTTCTTGTTGTACTCCTTGATGTAATCAAGCATACTTAGTTTTGCTTTAGCACAGGGGAAAGTACTTTTTTGTTTTGTTTTGGAAAAGCTGACAAAAGAGGACCATCTTTTTCAAAAAAAAAAATCATTCTATGGGGGTTCCTGGGATCAAATAGTAGATCAAATTTTCCAATCTAAATTGCTATATTTTACTGTTCTCATTAAATATTACATGACTCCCAATTATTTTCATTATCACTTATGAGTGCAGCAAAGATTTTTAATTATTCAAAACTTCCTTTTTTTTGGTGCTCTATAAGAGTGTATGCTGATCTTTATAAACTACTCTCCAAGACCCTCAAGAAATTGATCAGTATCAATCAATTGCCTGTGATACTCCAATAAGCCTGGGCTTGACTATGTAGAGTATATATCCACACCCAAGCTATATGAGGCAGGTTATGTTCCATTTCCAGTCCAAATATGTACTCAAGCCGTGTTGTTTCACTCTGTTTCTTGATCTCCAAAGGATGTTCTGCATACCCTCTCTCCGGGATGTTGTGGATTGTTTACCAAGTGTTTGCTTTATGTAAACCCTTTTCCCCTGTATTGTATTGTATCAGTATGTTGATAATCTGGGGGAATTTTCCGGGTTGTGTTTTCTTGTTTTTTTTTTTTTTTCCCTCTTGGCCCAGCTTGGCCCCCCTTGCCCTCTTACGTATGTTTATGTAGTTCAGTGCTCCAGTTGCCCCGATCATATATTTTTGTCATCGCCAAGCTTCATCATCCTCAGGAAGATTGCAAGAGCCCTCTCCTGCTTCATCACCATCATCATCATCATCCACTTGATACTTGAAAACAGCCAACGCGTTCACATCCACCTCACGAAACGAGATGTCCCAACCACAGGACGAACAACCAGTCACCTCGGTTAGCATCTGATCAACTCAAACGAGCGGGGGGGAAACAAACTTACTAACCCCAACTCATCTCCCTCATTCTCCCCTATCCTTTCTTCCTCATCTCATCCACCGATCAACCCCGTCCTCCAGGATGCTACTCTCGAGCATGACCCGGATTACCAACCATTGGTCCATTTGACTCAAGTTCAGTATCCCCCTACGCTTACATTCTTGATTCTTCACGTTCACTCTCTCATCTTGACATCTCCTTTTCGTTCCCTTCTTTGACTGCTTAGATCGAAACTAAAACACACGAAGAAAATGAGGATGTCTTTTTCAAACTGTTCGTCTCGATTGGTTTCTTTCTTCGTTTCGCGCCTCCCAATCTGACTAATGTTATCTTTCACCATCTCTACTATTCAGACGTGCCAAGCTCTTCAGATTCGATAAGACAGCTTCGGAGTGGAAGGAAAGAGGGACCGGGGAACTAAAGCTACTACAAGATAACGTTGAGTTACACTCGATCTGATTCTTTCGGATCTACAAAGACTGTTCAAAATAATAAATCTAACCCATAACTTAATCTGGCAGACGACAAAAAGAATCCGCCTGGTGATGCGTCGAGATAAGACGCTCAAAGTTTGTGCAAACCATTTCAGTTGAGTCCGAATGATGTCGTTATCGATGAAGAGAAAAGAAAAAAAAACTGATCAAGTTTGATGCTTTTGTCATCAGTTACCGCGGAGATGGTCTTAGCTCCAAACGTGGGCTCCGATCGATCGTGGGTCTACAACACTACCGCTGACGTGGGTGACGAGGGTGTTACAGCAGAAACACTAGCGATCCGGTTCGGTAACTCTGAGAGTCAGTATCCATCTTCTTTGGATACAAACATTGACATCCTTGTTATCCCATCAACTGATACACGAATGTCCTCCCTCTAAAAAACCTACCAATGACGATCGACAACAGATGCTAATGCATTCAAGGCCAAGTTTGAAGAGGCCCAAAAGATCAATGGAGGTCTGACAAAAGAACCCTCGACTACGACGAGTACCGATCCAGCACAACCCGAGGAGAGCTCGACGACCAAGAAGGAAGCTAAAGAAGAAGAAGCAGCAGCACCAGGCTCAAAGACGGAGGAAAAGAAGTCGTCTGAGGAGGTCGCCGAGTCTAAGGAATCTGCACCGGTCGTCCAATCTGATGCTACCGCTCAGGCGGTCGTCGAGACTACGACTTCTGAAACTCAAAAAGATGCTGAACCAAGTGATGCTGCTAAGGTGGAATCTAAAGATGATGACAAAAAAGAATAGATAATGTGTTTGGCTTTGTTTAACGATTGATTTGTTTTCTTCTTCTTCTTCTTCTTCTCTCTCTCTACTCTTATAAGTAGTTTGTTGGTTTCAAAATACTCAATCGTAAAGAAGCTAGTGGAAGAATTAAAAATAAATGTCGTTTTCCTCTTTTTTTCCAAAAAAAAAAAATAATCAATCAATCAAAGAAGGAATTATAACAACTGCACCATCATCATCCTCTTCTTTCCTCCCTTTTTTCTCCTAATTTGAACATTTTTCAGTTTCATTATATGTTCTCTGAGTGTGAGTTTTCTTTGATTTTTTTCTTTCCAAACAAAAAGAGCAAGAAAAAAGGAACAGAGAATGAGATAGGAGTCAAAAAAGATCCATACTTCTATAAATGATTGGTTTATACCAAAACATAAGTGGAAAAAAGAGCCATTTTGCTCCAAAATTGAGAGTGTATTGGATGACTTCCTGTTGCAGTTTACAACCCTCTCAGAATTTAATTTACACCCCCTAGATCTTAATTTTTGGTATATATTTTTTTTTTTTCACAAGCCTTGTGAAGATAGCTCTCATGTGTGATGGTTGGAATTACAATTACGGTGTTAATATAGGACTGGAGAGGGCTCAAAAAAAGCCCTCTAAATGGTGACAGGAAGTCCTCCATTGTTCTTCTCATGAAGTGTTTTTTTTTAAAAAAAAGTGTGTCTTGGATCAGTCACATTTGTTCATGATTTGTGGTACTGTGATATCATAAACTGTTGAGATCTAAGCTCCGCTTGATCATTATGGTACCCAAGATCGAAACATCCATGACATCATTACGGTCTGAAGTGGTCAAAGCTCTTGCAGTGACATCATAGCGCTTAGACTCTCTCAATCATCTTCGACATCGTCACAGCGTTTCTCTTACTTCCTTATCATTCCCTTCCTTCTCTTCCGTCATTCCTCTATCTCCCTCAGGACTTCATTCTTACACTTTCCTCCACGGTCGAACTCCTCATTCTATCGTGTCATAAATCTTCACTCTCCAATTCATCGAACATCATATCTTCCCACTCTTCATCAGTCACCGCTTTGATCTTCCTATCAAACGACTTTCTTCTGCTCTCGCTCTTCACTCTCTCTTTGATCTCAGAATCAAATCGATCCCTTCTTTCCGACAACTCCGCCGACTACTTCCTCCCTTCTACCGCACTCAAATCATCGTAGGTAGTCGTTGTTCTCTCATTCACTAATGCCGTGATATTGATCCACATTCTTTTGTCAGCTTTCTCTACCTTCTTTCATTTGCATCTCAAGTCATATTGTTGTTCTATTCACCTAGCCATTTACTGCTTTTAGGTGACTATTTTTCTTCTTTCTTTCTCCTTTATTTGTTTCTCTCTACTTTGTATTTCTTTGCTGAGACTTATGAAATACAAACTTTTAGTCTATTCATTCACAGATTTACAGTCTCGATTCGCTCAATTATTCGAACGACTTACCTATCAAGACAAAGCAGTAATGGCGGACAACAACTCTGAACAATCGATCAAAACTGAACATCTCTTGCCAATTCTCAATGGAAAAAATTATCCATCCTGGTACGGTCGAATGAAGGTCCAACTTCGTGGCAAGGATCTTTGGTCGGTCTGCTTTACTCCTCCCGCCGATCCAATCACTACGACACCAGTTTCTGCATCAACGATCTCTGCAAACACTACTGCAAGTGATCGCGCGATTTCGATCATTGTCCCTCGCCTCAGTCAACGATGCTATAATGAATGTGTCAACAATACGACCATCGATAGTGCCTTTCTACTCTGGAAGAAGATCGCCGATCAGTATGCCTCTAGAACTGTAATCAACCAAGGACGTGTTTACATGACATGGTCTGCACTGGTATACAAAGGAGACCTTCAAGAATACATCGACGACACCAGAGCCTGTTTGATTGATATTGACGCAGTCGGCATCAACGTTCCTGTTAAGGTTATCGCCTATCTCATTCTTGGTAAACTCATGAACCAAGATTTAGATCAAATCGTCGATAAGTTGGCTCTTGATGAAAAGGCAATTTCTGATCCTTATGCTGTGTTGAACGAACTTCAGACATATCAAACTCACAAGTTCGCCAAACCGGATAAGGGGACCGCCTTACATACTTCTGTCTCAACATCATCAAAGAACGCAACGAGTCAGAAATCGAAGTTTCCAACAAAAATTCTTCACTTTTGTGGGTTTGGGGAACATAATCCCGAAAGCAATCACCCCGAGAATCGTTGTATTGAAAAGTACCCAGAACTCAGAGACTCATTCTCAAAATCAAAGAAGAATCCTAGTGCCAGCTTTGCACATGCATCGGCCTTCGTCACATACGTCCTTCCTCAATCACCAAATTCCTTCATAATCGATTCTGCCGCTTCTCACCATATGATTCGCGATCGGTCATTGTTCACCTCCTTCAAGAAAGAAAACGTCACCATCAACACCGGTAACCCACTGTCTCCACTCATCGCTGAAGGACATGGAACAGTATCTATCTTGATCAATGAAAAGAAATTGATCTTGACGGATTGTCTGTTGGTTCCGAAAATCTCCCAACAGCTGATCTCCTTAGTCCGGTTGATACATGACTCTGTCACTATCAGAAAATCCGGAGATGAATTCACAATCTCTGATTCGACTGGTACGCTATTCTCCGGACGAATCATCGACAACCTCTTACACTCCTCATACTTGAATCAACCTTCAGCCCATTTCAGCAAGAAGATTGACGATAATCACGAGGTATGGCATCAGCGACTTGGTCATCCCAGTGATTCGGTCATGAAGCAAATGAATCTCCCTAAATCGTCTGGATTGACCTGTGAGGTGTGTGTCTGCTCCAAGATGACTCTTTCTCCTTTCTCTAGCCATTTTCAACCGGTCCACTTCCCTCTTCAAAGAATACACATGGATCTTGTTGGCCCAATCAAGCCATCATCAGTCTCTGGCTTCAGTTATTTTCTCTCCATTGTCGACCAGTTCTCATCCTTTAAATTCGTTCGTTTCCTGAAGGCAAAATCTGACACTCTTAACACGCTGAAAATTTTTGTGAAGGAGGTTGAAAACTCTCAAAACAGGCGCATAAAAGAAATCGTCTCCGATAATGGGGGCGAATTCACAAGTCGACTCTTCAAGGACTTCACTGAGGATCAAGGCATAAAGCATATCTTCTCTCCCCCTGAAACTCCTGAACACAACGGATACGCTGAACGAACAAATCGCACCATCCTTGATAAAGCGCGGGCTTTAATGTTGACAAGCAATTTGCCGAAGAAATATTGGGCGGAGGCTGTCAATACATCGACGTTTGTCTCCAATCTTTTATCAACTCCTTCCCGCTCGAATTTCTTGCCTTATGAGTTGTGGACTAAATCATCTCCACCTATTCATCGTATCAGGACGTTCGGTTGCAAGGCTTTCATCTGTGTACCGAAGTCTCACCGTTCTTGGAAGCTTGGAAAAACTGCAGAAGTAGGCATTCTCGTTGGATTTGAAAATGAAGCGACTGTTTTTAGGATTCTCCGACTGAGTGACAAGAAGCTGATTAGGACCCGACATGTTCTATTTGATGAATCATCCTTTCCTAAGTTCTCGGAGGACTTCGTACCCTCCAAAAGCGAAGACTTGGAGTTCTTCACTGATAATTTTGGTGAAGAAAGTGATGATGACGAGGAAGGCAAGTCTTCTGCTGTACGGTTGAACGATGAAGTTCCGTCCCCTCGTCAGCAATCTCTCGTTATTCCGGCCGTTGAACCTGCGGATACTTCCTCTTCCTCCAAACTTATTGTTGGGGACGTATCTGCATCCAATATACTCTCGACCAAACGTATCAGGAAGCCAACTGCTTTCCATACGGTGGTCAACCCCGATATCCCTGCTCACTACCACCGTGCAACTCATTGCGCGGAGGCAAAGTCCTGGGACGTGGCGATCAAGAAAGAACTTGATGCAATGGCTACTCTGAATGTTTGGTCTGTGGTGCCCTTGACACCCGACATCAAAACAGTCGGCACCACCTGGGTCTTCAAGAAGAAGACGGGCGAAGGGGACATCATCTTCAAAGCCAGACTGTGCGCTCAAGGTTTTTCGCAGACTCATGGTATCGATTTCTCAAAGACTTTCGCTCCGACTGGGCGTCTTAACTCTCTCCGGGCGTTAATCTCATATGCAGCTGCTAATGAGCTCGACTTCCAACAACTTGATGTAAAAACCGCCTTCTTGAATGCCGACTTGAATGAAGACGTCTATCTATCGATTCCTCAAGGCGTCGCACTTGACAAGAAAAAGGTCTGTCTCAAGTTGAATAAGGCAATCTATGGCCTGAAGCAGGCTCCCTTGGCATGGTACAATCGCCTCTCTACCTGGTTGCTTGAAGTCGGTTTCCTCATCTCCGTTGCCGATCCTTGCGTTTTCTATCGTTTAGGAGAAAATCCTGTATGGCTCTTCATCCATGTGGATGACATTGCTGTCTTTGGAAAGGATATCTCGCTCTTCAAATCGGAAATTAAAGCTGAATTCGACATGAAAGACATGGGCCAGGCTGATCTCTTACTGGGGATCAAGGTGCTTCATGAACCATCTGCCATTGTTCTATCACAACTTCACTATGTGAATTCCTTGCTTTCGCTCTACGGCATGACTGCCTGTCGTCCAGTTGCAACTCCATTGGTACCCAATACTCAACTCGATCGTGCAACCACTGAAGAAACCGATCGCTTCAAGTCTCTTGGTGTCAATTACAGGAGCGCAGTTGGTGCTCTCAGCTACCTAAGCTCTGCCACTCGACCGGATATCGCGCATGCTGTCAGTCAATTGTCTCAATTTCTCGAGTCGCCGGGAATAACCCATTGGGAGGCTTTCACACATGTGTTACGGTACTTGTCTGGTACCTCCGATCATGCGCTTGTCTATCATCGAGGTTCTTCTAGTCCATTGGAGGGTTACACTGATGCCGATTGGGGCAACTGCCCTGCCACTCGTCGATCAGTAACCGGTTATTTATCACTCTTCAATGGTCACCTGGTTGGCTGGCAAACCAAAAAGCAGCCTGTGGTCTCACTTTCATCGTGTGAGGCTGAATATCGTGCCCTTACTGATTTCTCCTGTGAACTCTTGTGGATCCGACAATTGATTGCTGAAATTGGGCTAGACGATTCGGTACTTCCGACTATCGTACATGAAGATAATCAAGGTTGCATCGCCGTCGCCAATTTCGACGCAAACTCAAACTCCAAACGGATGAAGCACGTTGAAATTCAATTGCACTTCATACGGGAAGTAATAAAAAACGAGAAGATTCTTCTCAAATA